TTTTTGTCCTTTGTGTCAGTATTGGTAATGGCATTTGTATGCGAAATCCCTTGAGCCATAATTCAAACTTTGTCTCACATAAAACATATTACTCACTCACACATGCTATCACACTCTCTCTCACACACACACTACTAAGCTCATTTATCATTTTAGGAAATGAATACAAATATTCTTATTCTGTACACTAATGTGATTTAATCTAATTCAAATGTTATATTCAGAAAGCCCATAATTCTTAGAGTAAACAATTTAGAAGATTTCTTTCTCACGTTTAGCTTTTGGCTCAAATGATAGAAGCTTCTGTCCGCCATTTATCTTTGACTGTATTTTTCTCATGTTCCTTGTTCTCAGCGCTATTTTGAAGCATGTTCGGAACCATTAGATAAAAGATAAAAAGCACCCCTGTATTTCGTGGCTGGTGGTGTTCAGTGATGCCTCTTGTTGTCTAGCGTTCGTTTTCTTCCCGTCTTTTTTGTGGCATGAATAATTGTTGTTTATATCATTCCTGTTGGATGATGCACTTTAAAAGGTTTGGGAGTGTCACTGCTTCCTGTTGTGTTACATGATGTGGTATTTCTTTGACAAGATTGTATTTACATTTCAGTCAGGACAATTGACTCTTCTTCCATAGATGCTAATGAGAAGAAGAGGCAGGAGATAAATGAAATTGTAGAAGGTAACTTTCTCAATTCTTACCCTGTTGGTTTGTTCAGGACATTCAACGTGTAACAAATGTGTGTGTGCGGCGCAATTTTGTTCAGGTAAAAAAAAAGCACAAAGCTTATTGCTGCTCTTTAATTTGCTTCTTGAGGTTATCTTTGTTATGTTGTTGTATGGAGGTTGACTTTTATGTCAAAGACATATTTGTGATCATCAGTTGTGTTTTGTTCTTGATGATACATGAGCCTCATGTGTAGCTGGTGCTTTCTTGTGTGAAATTGAAACTGTGTTTAATCACTATAGCTGTAACATTGCAAACTACTGGAGAAGTCCCAAAACAGCTACCTCACAAACCAGACATTAACAGAGGTCCACAAGAGCTTGAAAAGGCAGTTGAAGGTAACACAACGAATGTCGGCATGGGTTTAGTGGATGCTGTCAGTGCTTTAAACATGTTATTTCTTTACTGAAAATCTCAATATTAGTGCAGAGCTGGAACGTTTGTGGAGTAATGTCAGCTTAGTTTGGCTTCAGTCTGTCTCATTGTGTGCAGCTCGCAGGATGTCTTGAATGAAGAGTCAAGGTTAATATTGTTTCTTTTAGTTTGACTTTATGTTGCTGTTTTGTTTGTTGCATTCTGTGGTTACATTCGGTAAAGGTTTTTTCTGCACTGCTGTGTTAACACACCATTTTTGTGTTGCTATGGCACTTTCATAAGTGCTGTTTCAGATTGTTGCTTTTTAATGGATCGCAAAAAAAAATAAAGAATGCAATTGTTTTTCCTATGAGCTTGATGGCAAATAATTTTAGTGTAGTTTGGCACTTATTGTAAGAATATCAGAGTTTTTGCTTAGTTGGAGAATGTTTTTCAGTCTGCAGAAGTAGTTTGTGGCACAGTGTGTATTATTTGCAATTACATGTACTTGGCTCTGGCTGGCTGATGTCTTGGGTCATTACACTCATCTCTGTAAGATTGTAAGTGTACTGTTGTATTTTATCCTAGCTGAAAAGACTGCTGCTGGAAAAGTTGCAGAACAAGATACCCAATGCAAAGGGACCAAAGAACCTGTGCAAGGTAGCATCAATTTCTTAAGACAAATTCAATGGTTCAAAGTTTCATTGCATATTTCTCTAAAGTACTTTGCATTTGTATGAAATCAGTGTGTGAACACTGTGTTCTTAACAAAAAACACATTCAATCAAAAGCTGAGTGTCATCTTTGGTCTGGCTGCTGACTGGTGATGTCAAATTGAATCCTGCTCAGTAATTTTAGTCTAGTCATAATTTTGAGTTTTGCTACCTTTAAAAACAAAGAAGGAGAGAAAAAACACAAAACCATCATTTTAATATAAATGTTTATAGATTTGAGTTCTCCAGGTCATGTATCTATTCCCATCATCTTGGCTTTTCCCCTCATTTTAGTATTACATTTTATTTTAGTCATCTCTCCAAATATGATTTTTTAGAGGTGAAAAATGTCATTGTTATACATCATGTAATCGGCCTGTTGGGATATTGCTCTTTTGTTGTTCTGTGAATGCCACATCGTTTGCTGCGTTCAGCAAATGATGGTCACAAACCTTTGAATTAGTGGTTATTGCCTGGTTTTTAAAGGGCAAAAGGTTTTTTATCTTTGCATAACTAAGTTGCTGTATATGTACAAGTGTGTTTTTGTGTATCTGTGTAACAAAACAAGTGGACAGGTTAGAACTAATTTCTTTCATTTTATTTTGTGAAAGAAAAATTAATTGCTCAGTCAGGTAAGTCCAACTAAAGCCAGCAAACTGAGACCTGAGAACATTTTTTATCAAATCTGAGTAATTAATTTCAGTATTACACCCATTAAATGATTTCAATAATTTAATCCCCAGCTGTTCCAGTAGTATGCGTTAGAAATTTGGAAAGTCAACAGTGTGAGGAGGGAGGTCGTGTCACTCTGTACTGTGAGCTCTCTAAATCTGGGCTCCAAGTGGAGTGGAAGAAAGGAACTGAATCCCTGAGCTGTGGAGAAAAGTACCAGATAAAACAAACAGGCTGTAGATATGAGCTACACATCCTTGATTTGACACCTGGGGACACAGGAAGCTATTCATGCTGTTCAGAGGACATGCTAAGCTCAGCTTCTCTTGTCGTAAATGGTAGGATGGCAACCATCTATCTCATGTAGTTTTCCATTCTCTTTCATTTAATTTTTCCATTAATTCCACTGCACCTCGCAAAATGTCCTCATTCATGTTTCTTCATTTCAAATTGATTATTAATTTACTTTCATTCCTCAGCTCTCCCGAATATTTTCACAAAAGAATTGCAAAACCAAAGCGTGGAGGAGGGGCAAAGTGTGTCATTACACTGTGAGGTTTCAAAACCTGATGTTCCTTTAGAGTGGAGGAAAGGAGAGCTTGGGCTTTGTCCTTGTGCCAAATATGAAATTAGACAAAAAGGACATCTGGCAACTCTAGTAATCCTCGATGTAGATCCAGAGGATTCTGGGAAATACACGTGTGACACAGGCGATCATGAAAGTACAGCACAACTCTCTGTGAAGGGTATGTTTCCTGCAACATGTTGTTTATAGTGGAAATATTTGACTTGAATTTAGCCCCAGCTTTAAAAGGTTAACTCACATGTAAGGTTCAATCTTAGACTAAAGATGTTGACATTTGTAGCCCCTTCCACTGCTGCTGTTCTTTCTTTCTGTTTTTAGCTATTTGTGCTTTTTTTTTTCATCTTTGGTCATATTTCAATTTTCCACAGCCATGCCTGTCCTTTTCAAAACCCAGCTACAGAACCTTGAAAAGCTGACAGGAGAGAGTGCCAGTTTTTGCTGTGAAACCACAAAACCAGGAGCCAGTGTGGTCTGGAGGTGTGGTGACAGGGTACTGACAACCAGTAGCAAATATCATTTGATACAGGAAGGAACTGTAGTTGAACTGGTCATTTTTAAACTGCATCAGAGTGACTCAGGAGAGTACTCCTGTGATACAGGAAGTCAGAAGACCTTAGCTGTCCTCACTGTGAAGGGTAGGATTTCTTTATTCAAGACCTTTCTTTTCATGCATCCTCTGGATTCCCACTTCATGTCTCCCATCACTTCCTCTTATTGTCCATCCTCTCCCAAGGAATCACTTGAGCATGAAATGGATCACCCTTACCCCTTAAAGTCCTATCTGAGATATTTTAACTGCATTTTAGTGTTCAAGAAGACTTCCCTAACACGTCACTCTTTTCAAAGGACCTGAATTACACACTCACTTTTCTTCTGAGCTCGTTCACTGTCCTTTCCATTTGTCCTTGTCTTTCTCTTCACAAAAATTAACACACAAGACCATGTTTCCTTGCATATGTTGCTCATAATTTTTACTGATGACGAAAATCTTCACAACTTGAACTTCATCGCTGTCTGTGTGCTGCTGTATTTTCCAAACAGAGGTGGACGTTAGCATTCTGAAATTCTTGGAGAGCTGCGTTGTATGCGAAGGCGAGGATGTCCGCTTTGAGTGTCTACTTTCTCATGAGGAGACTCCTTTGGTCCAGTGGAAACTACAGGACGTCCCGCTACAAAACAATGAAATGAACCTGATAAAAGCAGAGGGCCGGAAGCACAGCCTTACACTTAGAGGTGTCACCACAGCTGACTCTGGAACAGTCACTTTCTCTGTGGGTAACCACACTTCCACTGCTTCCCTGACGGTTACAGGTAAGCAGAACCAGCCCTTGGCAGAAACAAATGGCTGCATAGACCCCAATGACCAATGGGGGCCCCACTGATCACATCATTTTAATATTTTTTATTATTTTTCTCACATGAGTGATAATTATACTTTATCAAAGATCTATTGTATAAAAACACAATTTCCAGTTAACAGAGAGCTCCTGTAGGCCTACTATAACTTCTTGAAGTTCTCTTCTTCTTCTTCTTCTTCTTCTTCTTCTTCTTCCTCTTACACGACAAATAATTTTTGTACAGTATTCTTGCATTAATTCAGAGCAAAAATAATAACTCAGATGACAGTTACCTTTACAAGACCTAGGCGATGTTGAGCACCTCAGTTCTTTATCCCATGTGATGTTAAATTCAAAACAACCAAAGTCTGCTATTGAAACAGAATGTGCAGCCATTTCAGACTGAAAATTAGATTAAATTGGGATGAAACAACAAATTATGGAGTCTTTATGTAGTATTTTTCTAAGTAGTTTTACAGATTTGGACAAATATTGATTTTTTTTTCTTTCACAATCTAACCAACAAAACGTTCTCGCATCAAGTGTATAGAGAACACTCCCAAGTGATGGATTGGAACATTTATTGTATGCCTATGGATGATTAATAATCAGTGTTATTTGCAGAAATAGAGCCCAAAAATCTCATTCTGCTTAAGGCCCCAGAGAGGCTTGGGGCAGCTTTGGAAGAATTGTATTTCAACCAAAGATGGAAGAGACAAGATTAAACGTTATTTTACCAATGTATATCTGCTTCTTTTGTAGTCTTCCAACTTGTTAAAAATAATTTTCCTTAGTATTAACCCTGTTGTAATTCTGTAATATAATGTTTTCGTCAAGTTGAAAATTTCAGAGGAGATTTAGGAAAACACAGTCTTCAAATTCAGTTTTATTTTCTTTCTTCCAATGACCAAAAACAGGAGGTTTAACAAGCTGCAGTGTCACAAATTTTTGTGGTTGCCTGGCTTTGGTCTGTAAAATAAGGAATGTATAGTATTTATTCATGAACATGTCAACTCAAAAACTCAAAAACTATGGTGCATGTCATTCACTCCCTTTCTTATATTGTGTCACCATGATAATGTTCTCTTTCACGTGAAGGATTTTAAATGTGTGTTTGTATAGCATACACTGCTCTTTTCATGATGTGCTTCAATAGGTCCTACAGTGATCAATTAAGCCGCAGTTGTAATTGTTCAAGAGGAAAGAGTTTATTTTATTGCTGCTTTTTTGTGATTTAGTTTCTGTTAACGCTGTTAATTTTCTAAAAGTTGGCTGAGTGTAGGAGAGGTGTCTTTTAAGGGCTTGTTTTCTTGCTCTGTTTTAAGTGTCTGTATGACATGTAGTTGCGCTGTTTTGTAGTACTGGGCGATAATGTCGTCTTGTGTTTTGTGGAGGCCATGTTCCCCTCAAAAACCTTTAAGATTGCTAAATCATTCATCACATGAAACTGGTCTTTCTGGCAGCAGCACCAATATCGTTCAAGAAGGAACTGGAGAGTCAGGAGGCCACAGAAGGAGGTGAAGCTTCCCTGTCCTGCGAGACATCCAGCGAAGACTGCAAGGTGACCTGGCGGAAGGGCTCAACAATACTCACCCTGGGAGAAAAATACACAATGCAGCAGAGAGCTACCACTCACATCCTGGTGATACACAAGTTGATCCCAGAGGATAGTGGGGAATATACTTGTCATGCAGGGGAGATGAAAAGCACTGCTATCCTGACAGTAAAAGGTAACCAAACACATTTTCATCGCCCATCTCCTTCTCTGTCTCCATCCTCCCTAAAATCCCTCCCTAAATAATATATCAGACTCAACAGGTACTCCTCTTTCATTTCCTCCTTAATGATTGACTGAATTTGTTGCAACACTTAATTAGAGCTATTTTAAACACCTTGTAAGACATAAACAAAAAACAGTTTACTATTTCATGAACAATATTTGCTCATCCTGGATTTGGGGCAGGAAAATATGTAAAGAAAAAGTCAATTTAGCACTGCATAACATCCCCTCTTCTTTACACAATTGTAAACATCTGGGAGTTCACCTGCAGAAGAAGAATATGGAGTAAAGATAAGTTGCTCCAGTCTGAAATGGAATCTATGTATACTGTTACATATTTATGTTCCCTTTCTAAATATGTGCTCATGTGTGGTGGAAGTACTGAACTAGTGCTACTGAAATACATTTTTTCATAAAATGCTACTTCACCTACCCCGGATATTTACAGAGGACATATAAAGTGAATATTTAAAAAGATCCATGATGATGAATGAGCCCTTAGAGTGACACCATCTGTAGGATCTCCTAAAATCTGATCTCTGACCTCTCATTCACTCTCAGAGAGTGTACGCATCATCCGGGAGCTCTGCGATATAACTGTGAACACCGGCCAGGATGCCATCTTTGAGGTGGAACTGTCACACTCAGGCATCACCAATGGGGAGTGGTGGCTGAAAGATAACCTTCTTCAAAATAATGACCTGAATCAAATGAGTAGTCAAGGCAGAGTGCACCGTCTGGTTCTGAAGATGGTAACCACAGATGAATCAGGGGATGTTGCCTTTGTACTGGGAGAGGTGAAGAGTGTTGCCTGTCTGCTGGTGGAGGAGAAACCCAAAGGTAAAGAGGATGAAATGGTCACAAAAGAGTTTTAATCCATCAGAACCATCTCCATCAACAACTAAGCAGCTTTTTTGTGTTTCTTTGCTTTGTGTTTAGTCCAAATCAACTGCATTGTCATCATAATCTTCACCATCATTCCTCTCATCATCATAAAATAACATTAGCTTGCAAGATACTAACTGAGTATGATATCTGGAGTATCTTAATTTTTATATTTACTACTTAATTAGTAATTGTTATTTTTACTCCATAGTTTCTTTATTATCACCACGAGTCACTGTGATATATTATAGAAGTCAGTGCATGTACTCCTGTATTTTTAATGTTGATGAGATGGTTTATCTATGAATGTCAAGAGAGGGAAAAGACTGCATATAAATGCTTCATCTCCCATATTTACAGTGCTGATTTTAGAGAAGCCACACGACTCGGTGGCATTAGAGGGTGAGACGGTCACTCTTGCCTGCTCCATCTCTGACCCCAATGCCATGGTCAACTGGATAAGGAACAATGTGACCATCCGAGCAGGTCTCAAATATGACCTCAAGAAGAACGGAGCATTCCATCAGCTTCATATCCACAACCTGGTGCCCGAGGACTCAGGAACCTACACCTGTGACACTGGAGATGCCCAGTGTGATGTGACGTTGACTGTGGAAGGTAAAGAATCATTCCTGCATTTAAGAAAATGCCTCTCTCTGATGATCAAGCTCAAGACTGGACCAAAATTGGATCAAACCGATGAAACATTCTTGAACTTTCCAATTCTTTCAACGACGTTACCAGTCTGGCTTCAAAGCAAAACATTTGTACAATCCTCATGGAATAGTCTTGTCATCTCCAATAGGTGATGTCAGACTTGCCATCTCAATATCTTATGTTAGTCTTTCCCATTTCAAACTCTCAATAGGTGCCCCAGTGTTTTTCCATAAAGAACTCAAGAGCCAGGATGCCATAGAGGGTGATGATATCACCATGCAATGTGAGCTGTCTAAGCCAAGTGTGCGTGTTGAATGGAGGAAAGGAGGTGTTGTCCTCCAGGCTGGTAAGAAGTATGAAATGAAGCAGGAGGGGTGCATTCATGAGCTCTGCATACGGAATTTGGAGCCTGAAGATAGTGGCTACTACACCTGTGATGCGGGAGACCAGCTGACTACAGCTTCTTTGGCAGTGAAAGGTAGACTCCTCACAGTATTATTGTGCTTGCACGCTTTTTGTCTTCTACGGTGTCACCTGGTTTTGTCAGCCGAGTTTGTGTAATGCTAAAGTCTGAGGCTCAGTGTATGTATATATGTATTTTTCACCCAACAGTGAAAGAAATCTTCCTTGTTTCTGGTCTAAAGACCACTGATGTCTTTGTTGGAGAGTGGGCAACTTTCTCCTGCCAGCTGTCTGGTATGGCGCCTGGTAAGGTGCAGTGGTGGCTTGATGGCACCTTGCTCGAAAAAAGCCCTTCTATTGAGATAGGGCAGGGCCAGGACCACATCCACACACTCACCTTAAAGAACCTGGCAACAGATGACTCAGGAATTGTCACCTTCAGAGTGGGCAACTTAACATCAGCAGCCAAGCTCTTAGTAAAAGGTATTTTATTTAACAACAGCTTTTTAGACCCTGCAGAATTCATCCATTAAAAAAAAAGGATTTGAACAGATTCCTAATTCAAATACATTTGTGCAATTCATCATGACTACTACGAGTCAGCATTGCTATCATGGAATATAGTAGTTTTCTGCGGGGTTCTATGAAAATATTCATTAATATATGAATATAATATCAGATAGTTTGATATTTCAGTTCATCAGCATGCATGAGCAACATTGTTTGGCATTCAATTGATGGCAATAAATGTAGCAGCTTCATACTGTATGCTTTGATACAGTCAAAACATACACTTGGTGCAGCACCACAAAACTTCTAACACCTCTGAGCGAAACAAACAAGTGGTAGCAAATACCTGCTCTTTGCAATATATTAATTTGGTTTCCTGCTCTATTTCGGGTTGTTGATGTGAAAACAATATATATTTTGAGTAGTTATGCATTCCAATTCAGATAACTCTTAGTATTTTCCTATTATGTTGAGGAACATTACACAAAACATCATGAGAGATTTGTATTTCTTTATTTTTCTATCATCTGTGACGTTGACCAGCTTGCAATCAATACCAGCTTGTATTGGAATTTATGATCCATAAAGTATGACAAGAATCCTAAATGTGTTTTTATTTGACACAGTGTCCCAATGAAATCTTTAATTGTGGTTTTTATATGGAAGCAGAGCTCCATCAACAAACAATCCAATTTACAGTGATGACTGCCTTCTTTGTTTATTATCTATCATCAATCCCCAGTGTCTGTTTGTAACTAGGATTCCTTTAAAAAAAAAGCAATTTTATTAATATCATCAACCTTGTACATCTTAATTCATCATAAAAACTTTGTTCAGCCTGTGGTATGCACATTGATTTAAAGATAACTGCTAATGAATCTGTTCCTGAACACCTGTTGTGAGCCTCCCCTTTTAATGATGCAGTTAATAAGTTTTTGCTACAATAGAAACAAGGAATGATGAAATTATTCAACAGTTTGTTGAGAGAAAAAAAAACATATTCATTGTATGGTTACATTGATTTGTTACCTGGACTCTTGGTTTGAATGGTTTTGAACTATCAAAAACATGATAGTGATTAGATTATGGTGAGCTGTGCAAAACCTGTTTTTACAGGGGCTTTTTTTTTTACAGTTAGTGACAGGAATTATTAGGAACAAAGGACAATTTTTATGTTTGGTAGAAATCCAGAGGGAGAATACAAAATGTTTTGATTGGATTTTGTTAAGAACTGAAACCTACTCTGATACCTAAAATATTTCATTGAGAAAGTGCTGCTCCACTCATCCACACTGGCCAGATGCTTTTAAATACTTATACTCCATTTACCTTCACTGCCCAGAGCACTGCCCCAAAGCACTAAAACCTCTAACTCAACTACACCTACCATTGGTTTGGCATTGGCATTCTTCTGTACACTTATAACAACCCTCCTCCCGTATAACCAGAACCATGTTGCTCTTGGTTCTGACTGTTATTGTGAACTCTGACTGTTAGACTTTTTAACCCCCTACTAAGCTCTATTTAGCTCTTTATCACCTAAAATATGTACCATCACAGAGAATTAGCAGTGTACAGTGCATTTAGATATAATACATCCCTGACACTTTAATAAGATTTGGGGGTTATAAAGCCTACATGTCATTTGGCATGCCCGAGTCGTGTCCTTGTCTCATGGCAGTCCTGACAGTGTGACTGACCCCTGACTCCAACCTCAGATCCAATAGTTGAAGTGGTGAGCGAGATGGAGGACCTTCGTGTTTTTGAAAACCAACCAGCTGAGTTCATCTGTCAGTTCTCGAGGCCAGTCAAGGCTCAGTGGAGAAAAGATGGGCAGCCTTTGCAGCCTGATGGCCGAAGGGTGGTAGTGGAGCAGGACTGGAGTGTGGCCCGTTTGTACATTAACCCCGTGTCCGCTGAGGACATGGGAACATACTCCTGTGAGGCAGAGGGGACCTGTGTGGTTGCTTCGCTTTATGTGGAAGGTGAGCTTGCCTCCACATGGAAAGAGCACCAAGGTTTAGGGATTCTCCTCTGCTATGTCACACTAAAATGTGACGGGGCAAACAAACTGAGATTTTGTTGATCATCATAGATATTAAGGTGTTAGTTGATAAAATTGCAAATTATTCAACTACTGTCTCATGGAAATCATTTTGATTGGGATTATTTTTCTTTATTTTGGATATGTTTTTTTACAGCCAAACCCATTAACATTGTTCAAGGCCTGGAGAACGTGGAAACATTTGATGGAGGCGAGGCGCTCTTTGAGTGTGCCCTTTCTCGCCCTGAGAGTAAGGATTTCGGCTGGCTTCTTGATGACAAACCAGTAAAGGATTCCCCTTTAACTGAGATTGTGACATTTGAGAGTGGTCTTCGTCATCTGCTGCTGTTGAAAGAACTGCATGTTAAAGACAGTTGCACAGTGACATTTAAAGCTGGTACAGCTTCCACATCCGCCCAGCTTGCTGTTAAAGGTAACAGAGCTAGCACTATCTTTTTTAAAAGGCACATCCTCATATGATAAATCTCTATTGTTAACAGGTTGTGTGTCTTTTCTTTTTTTCTTCTCTCATAAGCCTGGAAGTTGGACATTGTGAAGGGTTTGGAGGACAAAGTGGCTGCAGTTGGAGAGAAGGTTGAATTTTGCGTGAAGCTGACTGAGCCTGTCCCTGCAGCTGAAGTGACTTGGTACGCTAATGGGGTTGAGCTCAAGCCCAGTGACCTCTGGGCCATGAAGGCTGATGGAAGCTCCTATTGGCTTGTCATGAGTCAAGTCGCTCTTTTACCCAAGCAGGAAATCACCTTTGCTGCTAGAGATGCTTTGTCTTCTGCCAAGCTTACCATCATCAGTAAGTATTTGATTAACAGGATTAGTTTTATATAATGCCCTTTGTAGCTCTTTTGGTTGCAGTTTTTATAGCTATTCGTTTTTATGACCTTCGTGTAGTGCTTATAAGGTAATCTAAGTCTCTTCTCTTTTTTCTTTCAAACAGCTGTACCTGATCCTCCAGAGGACCCAGAGATCCTAAGTAAGACTACAGAGTCTGTTACTCTCTCTTGGTTCACTCCTCTTCATGATGGAGGGAGTCCCATTCTGGGCTACAGGGTGGAGATGCGGCTGGTGGACAGTGCCCTCTGGCTTCCATCTCATTCTGAACCTGTGTGTAACACAGAATTTGTGGTTGAAAATCTCACTCCCGGAAGTAGCTATAGGTTTAGAGTTGCAGCCATCAACAGAGCTGGAACCGGAGAGCCTTTTGAACTTCCTCACACTGTGCAGCTTGGTGAGTGGCTGTGCTTGTTATTAAATTAAATTGGGTTTTTATTTTGGTTATCGTTCCTTCATTTATTGATTCTACATTTGATATAGAAATGTGTACAGTGGTTCCACATGTTTTCAGTGTTCTAGCCCAGTGTTTCCCAGCCCTGGTCTTCAAGCATTACTGTCCTAATTGTTTTCCAAGGGTCCCTGTTTCAGCACACCTGAATGAAATGAATGGTCCTCAGTCAAACCTCTGCAAAGCTTAAGGAGCTGTCCCATTAAATTGGGTGTGCTGGAGCAGAGAAACATTAAAAACATTCAGGACAGTGGCCCCTTGAGGACCAGTATTGGGAAACTGTTATAGCCAGTGATATGAATATAATAATATAATAATATAATGTGACATTATCATCCTTTTCTTACTGTAAAACAGAGGCACCAGTGCAGCCAACAGTTGCAGGTGAGACAATGTTTCATGTTGATATTTATTCAGTACACCCCAAATATATATCTGAAGTGAGAAAAAAACCCTACCCAATAATTATTCCTGAGATCATTGAATAATTTCTAAATACATGTATTTACAATGGTTGGGCAATCTTTATATAATAATGCTGTGATAGTCTTTTTCATCTCATGTCAACATGAGCCAAATTATTACAAACATGAGTATATATATCCACATAACTGTGCTCATGAATAAATAAGTGTAAAGGTTGAACTTCACACAGAGATCGGTCAAAATGTTTGACTTTGAGCTATGGCACTGTTTTTTTTATTAACCTTTCAGTGTGGTCATACTGTGAGATTTTGTTCTTTACACTGCATGCCTCATTCTAAACTGTGGATTTTGTGTGCAGTCATAACTGAAATCACTGACCAGTTTAGCCAGTGTTGTGCCTTGTCAAACTTTATCATTACTCTGTTCTGTTCATATCTAAAGATGCTAAGGAGGCAGAAGTGTTGGGGCAACCTAATCTACCACCAGAAGCAGCAGAAGAAGGTGATCTCCATGAGTTGTGGGAAGCATCAGCTAAGAAACGACGAATGAGCAGAGAGCCCACTCTGGACTCCATCTCTGAACAACCTGAGGAAGATGGTAAAGGTGGTCGGACCAAAAAAGGGCAGAATGAGCTTATATCATCAGATAAAACAGAAGTAAGATCAGCTGAGAAGGAGCTCGTCATTCAGACTCAAACCAACCTGTCAATTAGCTCAGAGGAAGAGACTGTTTCTGGAGGCTCAACGCTTGTGTCTTACCTAAAAAAGAGTAGCGAGACTGCTGTCACGGAAACCAGCGAGACAGAGACTCTCTCTGCTGAGAAGTTCTTTGCTCATTTCCAGATGTCAGAGCAGAAAACTAAAGTAACTAACACATCAAGTCAGCAAACTGTTGAAAAGCTGTCTACACAAGAAAGCAGCATTATGGAGATCACTAAGGAGGATGAGCCTGAGCTAAGAGATGCTGCCATTAAGATACAAGCTGCCTTCAAAGGCTACAAGGCTCGTAAGGACATGCGTCCTGTGTTCAAAGAGGTCTTCAAAGATCAAACCAAAGAACCAAATGGCACCATACATCTGGAATGTGTGACAGATGGCAAACCGGATAAAGTGTGCTGGATGAAGGACGGAGAAACTCTGACAGATGGCAAGCATCATCACATTGATATTTATAATGATGGCACCTGTGCTCTTGTCATTACTGCTATCACCACAAAGGACACAGGGGTCTACACTTGTGAGGTCACCAACAAGTTTGGAGTGAGTTCTCACAGTGCCAAAGTGACAGTGGGAACAGTGAGGGAGTCCTCGGGGCGACGGCCACTGACGGTGGGTTACAGTGCAGACAGCGAGCCTGAGAGCTCATCTGGTAGTGAGATGGATGAGTCTCTGAGGCAGGCAGGCAGACGCCTCAGACGGCTGCTGCGCACACGCCTCCCACCAGATGTTGAAGAGGAACCATTTGTCAGTGCAGATGAAGGGGACTTCATCCCAGATCCACACTCTTACCGTGAGGATGACAATTACATCTACATTCGCTTTGACTCACGGACCGAGGCTGAGGTTGCCTCAAAGAGATTCCAAGAGATGTTTACAGTCCACGGAGTCCCTGTAGAGACCACCATCATAGCAGCAGGGTCCCATAAAGTGGAGCTACGAATTAAAAAGATGAGCTACATTCAAGATGGCACACAGACCCCCACACAGGATCGTCAGGCTGCTTTTATGGCTGGAGCTGCCGGTAAGTAATAAAGTGGTAACACTTGGCTCTTTTTTTATATTATCTTAATTCTCAAACTATTTCTTCCTGCTACCCAGCTGCCCCAGTCTTCTTGACTGAGCTGCAGAGTCAAGATGTTCCGGATGGTTATCCAGTCAGTTTTGACTGTGTTGTGATTGGAAAGCCACCTCCCACTGTACGCTGGTATAAGGACGGCAAACTACTTGAGGAGAACGACCATTACATGATCAATGAGGACCAAGAAGGCTGCCACCAGCTCATCATCACCACGGTGTTGCCCACTGACATGGGTGTCTATCGATGCACAGCTGAAAACAGCAGCGGCATTGCTGCCTCAAAAGCTGAACTGAGAGTCGACAGTGAGTCAACATGCATTACAAGCACAAACTCCTTAGTGTTCTGCATGTGCCTTTTCTTATGTTGACGGTCCATGTTTGTTATTGATTGGGACTTTTTTTTAGCATTTTATGTTCCCACTAAATTATTCTCTTAGAAAAAAAAATCCAATAAAAAAAATGGCAATGTCATAAGATGTTTGAAATCTATTTGAAATGATTTTTTTGTATTGCTAAATGGCACAATGTCACCTTAGTCTCCATCATATTTCATGCTTTTTCTGTCAACACAGCAGCTCAATATTGCATTAATAGTGGGAGGTCTATTTTTTTGTAGTTAAACTTTCGTTCTAAAAAGTGTCCTTATGTAAACAATCCTATACAAACTACCCATTCACAAGCACACACTCGCTGTTGTTGCTACTGAACATTTGATCATGCACATCCATCTTCTCAGTGTCTTGCAGCTCAGATTATGACACAGCCGCAGATGTTACTGAGACATCCTCCTTTGTCAGTGCCAAAGGCTATGCATCCAGGTGAGATTTTATAGAAACTTAGATTTTAATTGATTGTTTAACAGGAACACAGTACTTACCGGGACTAACTTGTTCTGTTTTCAAAATATTGAAGCAGGGAAACTGAAGCTTTTGAGTCTGTTGCCGAGGACGACCAGCTACCACAGGTTGTAGATGAGCTTCATGACGTTCATGTCAGTCCAGGTTCACCCATTGCCAAGATGCAGCTCAGAGTAAAAGGTAGAGTCTCCATTTTTCTTAACCATACAGTAACAGTATGCTTAAGAACAATTTGTCTGAAATATATATCTTTTTTCAGGTTTCCCCAAACCAAAAGTATACTGGTTCAAAGATGGCCATTCTCTACAACCGTCAAAAAGAATTCAGCTGTCCACAGACAGAGATGTGCATGCGGTGGAGATCATTGAAGTGAAGAGAGAGGATATGGGGGAGTACTCTGCTTACATCAGCAATGCTGCTGGTTCTGCGTACTCGTCTGCCAGGCTGATCGTGCTGAGTATGTTAAAAGGCCCAAATTGTTAACTGAATGACTCATGTTTAGATGTGTGCTGTGGACCAATCATTCTGTTTTGCTGCAGGTCCAGGCGAGATTATGCCACAAGAGAAAAAAGGTAACTTGACATTTTACCAACAAACCAGTGTATATACTAATTCAGGTAGTATAATGTATAGTTTAGGTATCTCTTGCAATGTTTTGTACTGTTTCTGCGCAGACTCTAAGGAACCCCTAGTGCCACCCCGTTTTCTTGAGAGGTTCAGCAACAGAAAAATGAAACAAGGAGCTAGTATCACTCTGTCTGTCAAAGTAGAAGGTTTGTTTTGTAAGATTGCTCTTAAAATCTTAAAACACTGTTCAATATTTGAGTTTTGCTGTCGTAAATATTCAGAATTCTTTCTGCACTCTTTTTTGTGTTCAAACTTGATAACATGTTCTCCATACTTATGTTTGCTCTTTAGGATCTCCTTCTCCTGTGGTCTCCTGGCTCAAGGAGAAATCATCAGAGGATGTCTTGTGGATAAAGCCTGAGACCAAGGGATACAAAATGGCAAGCTCTGGGCGCCAGCACAGCCTCATCCTGATGGATGTTGGCACAGAGTACACTGGCACTTACACGTGTATTGCAGCAAACAGGGCAGGACAGTCTATCTGCACTGCACGCTTGGAAGTGGATGACAGTAAGCAAAACCATGAACTGATTTCACTGAATTTAAATCCATGAATGTATTCATAAGATTCAAAACATTTGCTAACACAACTGCCTAAAGTTAGGTTGTAACTACTTATGTTTGCCCCATTTTTTTTTTCTCCCAGCACCACAACCAAAGAAACAGACCACAACTTCAGAGTAAGTTTGCACATATTCATGCTGGATTTTGTTTCTTTTATTTATTCCTTTTGGGGATTTAATGCATTTCAAATATACATGGAAACACTATGGTCCATTTATATTACAGCTAAACATGCCTATCAGCACAAAATTTAACATGTCATGTTTCTCAGGGTTCTTGGGATTAAAATTAGTCCTCCAGAGGAGGAGACAAGTAGAGGAAAAGGTAGGGAAAAATTTTAACTTCATGTATTTGAGGTCTGAAAAATTGTGTTATATTTAAAGATGTATTTTAAATCTATATTTTCTCTGTTTGTTTGTTTTGTGCAAACCACTAGAAGGTCAAATACCCTATCTAGGGGAAGTGGGCACAGAGGAATTCCTCATGAAACTCACCTCTCAGATCACCGAAATGGTGTCAGCAAAAATCACTCAAGGTGAATTTAGATTGATTGTTTGTCTATACTTGTTCCTCTATACTATAATAAATCCTTAGAAATCATTATTTATTTCCAGGAGCCATTCCAAAGGAGAAGTTATCAATATAAAACTGTTGGTTACCTTAGTACTCAAATATGATTGAGTTTATTTTATACTGCATATGAAAACTGTTTTGATATTATGGTATTGGTACAACAACAGGTTAATGCAGTGGTTTAAAATATAAACAATATAATAACGAAACACTTCTGTATTCTGTCATTTCTCAGCCTGCATTTTCAACTAATATCAAACTCTCATGTTAGTTGTGATAAGATTTATCACATATTGTGTTTCAAAATTGAAATCAGATGTATAAGCCGTAAACTCTGCATGCATGGAGCTGACTGACAAGTAAATCTACTGATCAATAAGACATCCCAGGTCTTGTTCAGTCCAAAATATTAGTATAATATAATTTTGTATTTTCAAATCAGTTTTTCTAACTTAAAAAAAAGTCTCCATTCTCTCTGTTATGGCTATATTTGCTTGTTGTTGCAATGCCACTGAAAGTCTAAAGATAATTCACATATTATCTTTTATTTTGTCACTCCATTCAGGTTTGGTTGACATGAATAAAGTCACGTGACTTTTTGTTGATCATGAAAGTTTTCATTTGACATGAAAACTTCAATACTGACTTTATTGAATAAAAAAATATATATTCTAATAGTTGACACCAATCCTGACCATGGAATGTTCCCTTCCCTGCTTTTTTTTAGTGCTGTGTGTTTTTATGTTAACAAATTAATGAATGATCTCTCATTCCTTTACACAAACATAATTTCTTAACAAGTGTTTTCCACAACCGTCATTTCATCATTCCCATGAGTTAAATACTCATCCAATTATCAATTTGTTATACAGACAGTTTACAGAATCACGAAGTGCTCCAGTGGATGAAATCTTGGCCCAAAACTACCAGTATGTATCTCAAGTGCATCATACTATACATTTTTCTCTTGATTAATTTCCATCATTAGATGACATCATGAAACAGTTTTTCCTTGTTAGAAAAAAACAAAGCAGAAGATGTATTCCACAAGTATGTGGGTTCATTTTGTCAGAAATGTAATTGAAAACATTTTCTTTTTTATCACAGTCAATTTTATTTACACGTCCAAATTCAATCCAAGTTTTAGAATTTTAAAGTTATCAATATGCTTTTTGTGACATATTACGTCCCCCTTGCGTATAGAAGTCAACCATGCAGTCTTACATGTATGTGGAGAGATCTTTGAACCTGCATGTTGCCACTAACACATTAGCAATATGTGTAAAAGCACAAGAATGAATTGGCTGTTGCATAATTATTTTCTATACAGTGGGGGAAATAAGTATTTGACCCCTTGCTGATTTTGCAGGTTTGCCCACTTAGAAAGAATGCAACGATCTATAACTTTAATCATATGTACATTCTAACAGTGAGAGACAGAATCCCAAAGAAAATTCCAGAAAATCACATCATATGAATTTATAAAAATTGATAACCATCTGATGAGGAAAAATAAGTATTTGACCCCCTGGACAAACAGCATGTTAATATTTTATAGAAAAGCCATTATTGGCCAGCACAGATGTCAAACGGTTTCTATAGTTGGTGACAAGGTTTGTGCACATTTCGGCAGGGATGTTGGCCCACTCCTCCCTGCAGATAGCCTCAAAATCCTTCAGGTTCCGAGGTTGTCGCCTGGCAACTCGAATTTTAAGCTCCCTCCAAAGATTTTCAATTGGATTCAGGTCTGGAGACTGGCTAGGCCACTCCAGAACCTTGATGTGCTTCTTCTCCAGCCACTCTTTTGTTGCTTTGGCGGTGTGCTTAGGTTTGTTGTCGTGCTGAAACACCCATCCTCGACCCATCTTCAGCTCTCTCACTGAGGGAAGGAGATGTTGGTCCAGAATTCCACGATACATAGCCCCGTCCATCCTCCCCTCAATACGATGGAGTTGTCCCGTCCCCTTGGCTGAAAAGCACCCCCAAAGCATGATGTTGCCACCACCATGCTTGACAGTGGGGATGGTTATCTTTGGGTTGTACTCGGTGTTCTTTGCCCTCCAAACACGACAAGTTGAGTTGAGACCAAAAAGTTCTATTTTGGTCTCATCTGACCACATTACCTTCTTCCAGGCCTCTTCTAAGTCGTCCAGGTGGTGAATGGCGAACTTCATGTGGGCCTGTACATGTTTCTTCTTGAGCAGGGGGACCTTGCGTGCACAGCAGGATTTCATTCCATGATGGCGTAGTGTGTTACCAACCGTTTCTTTTGTAATTGTGGTCCCAGCTGCCTTCAGTTGATTCAACAGTTCCCCCCTTGTGGATTTGGGATGATTCCTCACCGTTCACATGATCAGGGACACCCCACGAGGCGAGATCTTGTGTGGAGGCCCAGACCGAGGGATGTTGGCGGTGGTGTGGTGCTTCTTCCATTTCCTGATAACTGCACCGACAGTTGATCTTTTCTCTCCAAGTTGCTTTCCGATTCTCTTGTAGCCCATCCCAGCCTTGTGCAGATCAACAATCTTGTCCCTGATGTCCGTAGAAAGCTCTTCGGTCTTGCACATGGTGGTGATGTTAGATGCTGGTTGTTTGGGTGTTGACACGTGTCTTTTATACAGGTAACGAGGTGATGCAGGTTTATTTGATGTAGATAATTGGTTGGGAATGGGGGGGTGTCTTAAAGAAAGACTAACTGGCTTGTAGGAGCCAGAATACTTGCTGTGTGGTAAGGGGTCAAATACTAGTTTTTCCTCATCAGATGGTTATCAATTTTTATAAATTCATATGATGTGAATTTCTGGAATTTTCTTTGGGATTCTGTCTCTCACTGTTAGAATGTACATATGATTAAAATTTTAGATGGTTGCAGTCTTTGTAAGTGGGCAAACCTGCAAAATCAGCAAGGGGTCAAATACTTATTTCCCCCACTGTATATTCATATTTAATTGTTGGTTTTTGTAACACTTTAGAGCAATAATTATTAGATAATGTACCAAGGTGTTAGTTACGATACCTGGACATTACAGCAACAGGCAGGATTGCACAGGAGTTACCGTTTGGAATGTGAATTTCCGCTGATACATCAAACTTCAGCCTACTTCATGTAAGGGAAATAGATGGATACTACTGCTGCAAAGATTTGAACCATGAAGTGATGTTTATCATCGGGAGTTTTGAAGTACAAAAGCTTCTTCAAATAATGAAATGTCCAAATCATGAATTTCGTTACGGTGATGAAACTTTTTCCTTTCCCTAAAAACAGATTAAACTAATATGAGGTGTCTTCAGTCTTTGCCTGACAAGCCTGTTGTCCGAATGCCTTATTTGTCCTTTCTGCCCCAGCTTCATTACGTGTACCAGGAGCTGACAGTGATGATGAGACCAAAACTCCTTCTGCATCACCTCATCATGGCCGTTCCCGCCCTCCCTCCCTGATTGCAGACTCCTCCTCAGAGTCTGATGAAGGGGATGCCAGAGGAGAGGTGACATATGATTGATTGGTGTAATTTTGTGTGCTAAACGATGAATAAAATCAACCTAAAACACATTAGGTAAAGCCTGAAATAAGTCACTGAGCACAGAAACATTATGGCATAATGCTGATCATCTCCCCTTTTTTGTATTTGTATTTCCATGCAAACATAAATGTAAAAATGTTTATGATACAAGTATTCATTTATACTATAAACCAAAAAAGAATTTGGAAGATTTTTTCTGAGTTCATGGAGGTAGTTATTAAAATAAAAATGGAAAGATCTTCATGATTTATTTAATGTTTGTAATGCTGTTGATGAAGTCTCATGATTTTGTACTTTTGGGTAGATGTTTGACATCTACGTTGCAACAGCAGACTACAACCCCACAACTGCAAGCAAAGATTCCATTTCTCTAAAGGAAGGACAGTATGTTGAGGTCTTGGACTCAGCTCATCCTCTCAAATGGTTAGTCCGGACCAAACCAACAAAAACAACACCGTCCCGTCAGGGTTGGGTCTCACCTGCCTATTTGGACAAAAAACTTAAAGTAAGTGTCAATGATGCATCAAGGGTCTACATTCAATATAGTTTAAGTCTTCTGCAGAACGTAATTTCTTGATGTCTGTTTAAAAATTTGTTTGGCAGCTCTCTGCTGAGTCGGGTGACCTCCCAGAAGCGAATATAGAGGAGGTGTCTGAGGGGGAATACAAGAGGAAATTATTGTAAGTAAAGCACAGTCACAAATCACAATGTGAAAACGAAGGACACGCTGTAACAAACTATTATTTTATGCCCTCAGCCAACTTATCCAAGACTTGATAAATGGGGAGTCGGAGTTTGTGAAAGAGGTGGACTTCTTTGCCACCCACCACCAGAGGCAAGCTGAGGGTCCTGATGCTCCGCCTGATGTGTCCGGCCAGAAAGAGACCATTTTCAGGAATATTGATGATATCCAGTCCTTCCACAGCAAGTGAGCCCACCTCTTCATCATTATTAATGACTGCTAAATGAGTGCACTTTTCTCACAGTTGTGTGAACGTGTTCCCAGTGCTGTTAGCTGTCGTTAATGTAAACTATTTAACCATTTCCCCTTACTGCTTGTTTGAAGATCATTCCTTCCGAAGTTGAATGAATGTGATACTGATGATGATGTAGCCATGTGCTTCCTGAGGAACAAAGAGGGCTTTGAGAAGTACCTCCAGTATCTTGTGGGTCAGGGTCAAGCTGAATCTGCAATCAGTGACAAGACTGTCCACCACTACTTTAAGGTAACACCAGGACTGTTATTGTTCTGTTATGTTTAAGGAAATGTGGTGCACTGGACAGTGAAGTATTCAGTGGCCTGATCTTTTACCATTCGTTTACATATAGCCTACACTTGTACTTGCTTCTGCGTACTTGTTTTCTACAGTATGTTATATATTTAGAATCTTCTTCCTTATAGGAATACAGTGAGAATGTGCAGGCCAATGCAAACCCTGCTGATCCGCCAGTACGAAGCATCAACGCCTACCTCCAACAACCACTGGATCGGATTCAAAAGTACAAGGCCATCCTGAAGGTAACTGAAATGACAGAATTTGTATGGACTCTGTTATTTTTTATTTTATTTATAGTACAAGTAAAAATTCATGTGACTTAAGAATTAAGTTTTGATTAAATTTATGCTTTAACATTTGTAGGAGTTAATTCGAAATAAAGCAAGAAACGGCCAAAATTGCTGCCTACTAGAAGAGGCCTACGCAATGGTGTCTGCACTCCCTCAGCGCTCTGAGAATACACACCACGTATCCTTGATTGAAAACTATCCAGCTACTCTGGAAGTTCTTGGAGAACCAATTAGACAGGTAATACATTTATTTCCAACTATATGATGCAATAATTGGACACGATTGGTTGTGTGTGTTTGACTGTTGTTATCCTCCCTTCTTTCGGCACCAGGGTCCGTTCCAAGTCTGGGAAGGAGCGCCTGGAATTAGAACATCCTCTAGAGGTCACCACCGTCATGTATTTCTCTTTAGGAACTATTGTATTATCTGCAAACCCAAGAGAGACAGCAACACTGATACACAAGCATATGTTTTTAAGAACATGATGAAGGTAAACATTTTTTATTGTTCCTTCTCATACTGCTGTGATATTCTATTTCATGTTTAGCGACATGACATTTTTTGCTATTCTTCCATTGCAGTTGAATAACATCGATGTGAACGAAACAGTAGAAGGAGATGACCGTGCCTTTGAAATCTGGCATGAACGAGAGGACTCTGTGAGAAAATATACTTTACAGGCCCGAACCGTGACCATCAAGAACTCGTGGCTAAGAGACTTCCGAGAACTGCAGCAGAGATACAGCATGCCTGCATGGAGTGAGTAGGATTTACACAATGCCTCCCTTTTTTGTTCGAATTGTTGTGACGTTTTGATAATTTCTTACATTGTTTGTTTTCCAGGTCCTCCAGATTTTGTGGAAATTTTGGCAAACTGTACAGCAGAGTTGGGTCAGACCGTTAAACTAGCCTGCAAAGCCACTGGGGTGCCTAAACCTGTGATCACCTGGTATAAGGGTGAGATGTTTGCACATTTTGTGTTTTTTAGTCAACTGCAACACATCACAATATGTATATAAATAAGCCCAGGTTGAATTCTTAAGTGATTGTTGTGTCTACTTGATGGATGAAGATGGCCGTACGGTAGAGGCGGATCCTCATCACATCATTATTGAGGACCCTGATGGATCCTGCACGCTGATCCTGGATAACATGACTGCAGATGATTCTGGCCAGTACATGTGCTTAGCCACAAGCTCAGCTGGCAATGCCAGTACTCTTGGAAAAATCACTGTTCAGGGTAAGTGATGTGATAGAAAATATTCAGATGTAATCATCCATGTGCACAGCGGGAGTCAGCTGCTTAAAACATACTGGTATTGATTCTGCAGCTTCAGATAACAAGTTTGTTTCAATCTTTAGACATGTTGTTGATTTCAATGTGGTGTTTTCAGTACCCCCTCGTTTCGTAAATAAAATGAGAAACGCCATCTTTGTTGCTGGTGAAGATGCTCAGTTTACCTGTGTCATACAAAGTGCTCCCAGCCCCAAGATAAGGTACGACTTTCTTGCTGACATTTGCCACATTTGATAAACATTTTTTTTAAATTCACACTTAATTTTTGCTCTGTGGCTTTGTGTAAGATGGTTCAAGGATGGCAGGCTGCTGACGGACCAAGAAAAGTATCAAACCTACAGTGAGCTCCGTAGTGGGGTTCTGGTTCTGGTTATAAAAAACCTGACGGAAAGGGACCTTGGACACTACGACTGTGAGGTTTGTCCAGACCATTCTGAACAGTAGCATGTTTTAACATATATATACTTACACATGATATGATTATATCTTGCATATAAATTAGGGAGTAAATTTCACTTGGCTTGTATTTATTTCTAAAATGTAAATAAAAACTATAATCTACACTGAAATTGAGCTGTTTTCAGAAAAACACTTTTCCTTATTCACTGAGCTTTAAATTTGTTCTTAAGAACTTGTCCTCTTTTTCCAGGCATTGGATTTTTTGAAACTTGGTCAGATTGGATAGGAAACTCTGTGAACTGCCTTCTTCTTTATCCCCCAAAACATCCTGGCTTTGGCTGGGACCCAAAAGACGGTTCAATATCACTTCTGTGTTGTCTAGGAAAATAAAATGAAAAGTCAAACGTGACAGAAAGGAAAGAACTTTGAATAGTTTAATCAGTGACCTTTTTTTCTCCCCACATGTGTGACCAGTCACATTTTCTCTCATGTTAAAAATCATTCCCATACTTGGATGACGCCTCTTCACCATTTTGGGGGTGTCAACCGGATGGATCCTCCATCTCTGCAGGAAGTTCAAGAGTTACTTTGAACAGATGTTTTTCTGATTAAATTATGTCTGGGGCCCTTACTTTACTACAGGTAGACCTCTGCCAGGTTTAGGGTTTGTCTGACCCACAGTTAAGGCCTGAATATTTTAGTAAATGTGTGCTATCCCTTTTCATATTTCATTAGTTTAGCTTAATCTTGTTTCCGAATATCCCTTTGGCATTATAGGTCATCAAGGGGAGATTTTATTAGGGTCTTGTAATGATTTGGAGGAGAGTTGATAACAATTAGCGACAGGAAGTCATATTTAATAGTCTAAAAATATGTTTGTGTTGTTGGCAGTTGTCTAACCGTCTGGGCAGTGCAAAGTGTGCTGCAGACTTGGTCCTCCCTTCTGCTGTGGCTCGCACTGGTGAGCAGGCCATCACCATTGAAGGTAAGGCCATTGATTTTGTCTGTATAAGGTTTCACCTTCAGGAGTCTTTATGCGCGTTTAATCATTTAAATTTTTGTCTAAGATCTAGAAGTAACAGCAGTTGCTTTAAAGGGTTAGCAAGTAGTTTGCATTATGTATGTAAAGTCTTTTTTTAATTTGCTCTTTTTCTTCCTTTTTTAGTTACAGAACAGGAGACTAGAATACCAAGGAAAACCATCATCATGTAAGTACAATCAGACAGGAACAGCGGCCTTACATAAAGCATGTCTAAGTACTTTGACAACATCTTTTAGACAAAGCTGCAACATGTAAATTAACTTAATAAGTGCATATTTAACTGATATCAACATAACATGTTAGTTTTAGAGCAGAAATTAGAAAATAGACTAATGATCCTGCTGTCGTAGGCAGCTGTATATAATACTCTGACGCTAAATGCGGTAAAAGTAGATTTGTCAATATATACGTCTGTGCCTCTCTTTGCATTGTGTAGTATTTGATGCCTGAATGCTAAAGGATTTTATCACAAGGATGGTGAAGGGAGGGGTTGTTTCCATCAGGGTGCTGCCTTTAACTGAGATCTTTAGCACTGCAGTTTATCACACGGATCCTATTAAGACCAAGACTTCAGTTGAAGTCAGTTTTATTTATGATGTCCTAATTCCCTATTTTCCACAAAGGAAATCTTAAGAAACATCATGTAGAACTGCTTTGGAGAATTTATTTCTTCAAGATGGATTGATGTGAAATATACGTTTTGGACCTGCTGATTATTCCAAAAAGGCAGTATGAAACATCAGCTAGATTGTATTGTTATCCTATCATTTAAACCCTGAATGATAAAGAGCCTGAATGCAGGTATCAGTCTGTACTTAAGCTATGCAGCATTTTTTGTGTTTCTGGAGTTATCTTGTCCTTATTTGTTTGATCATAAAGTCCCTTGTATTGATAGTTTACTTGTGGCCATTTAATTATTTCACCTATGATTATAAGTGTGAAACACATATAGATTAAAACATGTTTACGGGAACTTGTCCGTCGTCACTAATGCTGTTCTCCATTTATTCCAGTGAGGAGACTATTACTACTGTGGTGAAGAACGCACGAATGAGAAGGCACAGGTCCCCCGGCTTGACTGTTGCCGGTTCCCACCGCTCTGAGACTTCCACTCCTGAGCCCCCTATGACCAGGGTGAGGAGGATGCCCACCCCAAGGAAGACCACCATCCCAACTCTCTATGTCACTCAGCCAGAGGGGGCTGAAGCCAGATCAGTGGAGAGCAAGCCCAGATGGGTCGAAGTGGAGGAGGTCATTGAGTATAAGGTCAACAAGTCTCCAAGGCTGTCCAGGAGGAGAGGAATCTCACCGGCGGGGTCCGATCGCTCAGCCACCCCTTCAAGACCCAAGAGACATCCCATGGAAAACCCAAATGCTAACAACTCCAACAACAAGCTGGTTGGGAAAACACCAGCACATCTGCCAGGGGACATCAGCAGCCAGTCAGTCTCCTGGGAGGAAGGGGAGTCTCAGGCTGCCTCTGCTCCCGGGGAGCCAGAGGAGCTCCCATCTGTCCCTGCGGGAGAAGACAGCGACCTGGATGACCAGCAAACTATCATCTTTGAACCTGATGATGACGATAATGAAGGTGGCTCATTCAGAGAGAAGGAGACCATGGTCCTGAAACAAGGAGATCATTTGTTGACCCTGGAGGACTTGGAGGATTATGTCCCTCAGGAAGGCGAGACGTATGGTTCCACTAACACCCACCAAGTTGTTGAGGAAAAGCCCTGTGAGATCTCTGTGCTACAGAGAGAGATAGGGGGCTCCAGAGTGGGACAGCCAGTGCTTCTCAATGTGGGGCGGCCGGAGGTGGTGCCAAGGCACAGGAGTGGATTCTTCACCCGTTTCAGGGATCATCTCTCAAGCAACCTCTTCTCAACTGCCTCCCCACGAGCTAGTGAGGCTTCTCAAAGAACTGAGAGACAAATCCCAATCCAAGTGAGCCACGCAGAGCTGGAGGTGAAGCCGTCCTACTGCTCAGAGGTTCAGAGAGTTGAAAGTGGGCAGCAAAGCTTTAAAACCAAAGTGTCCACTCAGACCTACAGTTACACATCAGGAGGAAACCCTGTCACTCTTCAAATTAGAGATTACCACTCTCAGAACAAGTAAAACACCTTAGACCGAGTACCACAAACCCTTTTAGTCTTAAATAGATCAACTCTAGATACATCTCTAGCAACAAAAGAAAACAGCCAACTCCTAACCCAACATATATCTGCAACATTTGATAAACCATTCCATTCTGAAACAGCCAATCTAAAAGCAGTCTCGTCCACAGAGAAAGTTGTAGTGCCAGGGTCTTGAGACCGTCGCCTAAATAGATAATTCTATCACTCTAAGTGGGTTTCTGTCCCACTCTGTTCTTTCAACTGCTAAATGCAGACATTTGCTGTATGGGGGTGGGTAATAGAAGTAATTATGGTTTGACATTTGTCTGCTAATAACTTTTAAAGTCTGTTTCTGCTATATATGCTCCTTAAAAAAGCCACGAACTTGCCAATATTAACACTTTAAGGTATTATCCATAGTAAAATACAACAATCCAGCTGTACTGATAAGCAAATAGTTACACTTTTGTCTTTTTTTCGGCTTTACTTTTGTACTTTTCAGAAATGTGCAGTTTACAGTGACTTGGATTCCTTGAGAAGATACTGCGGTTAAAGGTGTTTGCTTCTTTACTGTTCCAGTTTAGCTACTGATGCAAATTATATCATACTGGTCTTTTGTTGGCATTTGAGTGATTTATTGGGAAGCAGCTTTACAACACTACTCATGGCAGATACGTTGGTTGGTGAACCATTATTTTGTTCCCTCCATTTTTATCTACTAGATTTTTTTAAGCTATAAAGACATCTTGTGTCTGTTAATGCAGTGATTTTACCAGCAGCATCACAGGCCGTCGTGTGAATGTATTCACGTGTCAGTGACAAATATTTAGTTGAGTGACTGCATGAATTGCTTTTCTAAAGCAAATGAGTAACCAGAACCGTTTTCTCCTATTTGAGTGAAAAAGTGCTGGAGCCCCCAGACTTTGCTACCTTCTGTGCCGTTAAGAAGCAAGTAAAATAACTTCCTCCTTAAAGATTTGGGATGTTTGTTGCTAAAAATGTGTAATTTCTAAGGAGGATGTTATGTATTAATACTAAAGCACTAACAGATTGTAATTGCTTGTACTTTACATGTGTCGTTTTGGACAGAAAAACATGGTAAAATACATTGTATTGAACTAAATAAATATATTGCAAATACTTTATACCACCTGTTTCTTTCTTAATCTTGATCCACTGCCACCAAAGATGCAATTTGCTGCTGTAACGTTTTATTGAAGTTTTAACACAACACAGTTCACTGGTGAAATACACCTTTTTTCCAAGCTCAATTATAAATGACAAGTAGAAGACAGCATTTGGTATTAAATGCTGGGATAACGTGGACAATTCAGATAGTAAAAAGTGTCCGTGGGGACACAACACAAGTATAATGGATTCAGTCCTTCAAATGTCCACAAACTTAAAATGTTATGATGGGAAAAAAAACAGAATTCCAATGAAAAATGACATATGTTTAATATATATAAACATAATATACCACTACGTGCTTTTTTCAAGCATATTACAAAAATAACAATGTCATTTACCCTTCAAAGCTACACTTTTAGCAATAAGCAGAACAATCCACTGAATGGCATTTACTTTAAGAGAAGCTGCAAAGTGATAACATCACATTATATATAAAAGATACTAATTTACAACTGCAAATAAACAGTTTAACTGTAAGTTGTGTCTGGCCCATTTTGAAAGACATAAGAGAAAAAAGAAGTATTCAATGTGATGTTGTGCTGGTGTTGTTTTACTTTACGGAAAACTTCTACTTTCAGGATGGGATGTAATCGTACTTGAGCCCAATGGAATCTAAGCAAATAAAACTCATGATGTCAACACATTATCTGACAATCTGTAATCTTTAAAACATAAGATTTCCCCTAGACTGGAATACTAGAGTACAGCTGACCGGGCTGTACTCCCTCAAAAAGCTCATATCCACCACATTTGAGTAACTGACACCAGTACATCACACCCACTGACAATTATCCATTTCATCATAAACAGACAACTTCTCAAGAAAAAGAAAGTAGCGCCGGTTGTCGTCAAGAACAAACAAACATACCAGATTAATCTTTTTTTTTTGTTCCACCCTTGAGAGACGGGTTTGTCCACATGAGGGAATGAGTCACATGAGGGGATGCGGGTAGGTGAGCTTACATGGCTGCACACAGTACGACTAACTGCTGAGAATTCTGTCCAACTGAGCACTTCCTTCATACTACGCTAGCTTGACACACAAAGAAGAATTTCACAACTATCCTTTTTTTTCCCCAACACATGTTAAAATGAAAGAAATATCTAAAAACACTTGAACAGTAAAAAAAAAAAAAAGGAAAAAAAAGAGAAAAAGAGAAAGTTCCTCTCAGGCAATAAGTACTTCTAAACAGTGTAGAACCTACAAATCTGTAAATATTATGGGGTCTGTTGTCTGAGCTTGGATGTCCGTCCTCTGAGGGAATGTTCGCGACAGGAATGGAGGTCTGTTTTTTTTGTGAGGAGTGGCTGGATGGGGCTAAAAGCTTTTAGGATGCAACCCTCTACGATGAAATGTTGACTTTCTTCACCTTGTTAATTTCCTACATAGACAAAAAACAGAGAGAGAAAAAAGTATTTTACAAGTCTCCACATAGAGATGTGTGTGACCTCGGAACACAAGAAGACATAAATCCACAGCTGCAGCCCGACAGAAAATGCTGTGTGTGACAGGAGATTAAAAGACTACCTGGCTGTGCTTTTTACACTAACTTTAACAACATTTTGATGAGGCGGCTGTGTGTGGATGAGTAATCCTCCCACACATTTCTGTCCACTTGACGATTCTCCTTAACGCTGTGCGAACTAATGCCCAGACTAAAGCTGCTGTTGGGATCACACAGGGATCTAGAGTCCTCATTAAACATCCTTTTGTCTTTCCATAGCGGCGTCCCTTGGTACCTTTTGTTTTTGACTTGCGCCTTTCAAACCATTTAGCATCTCTATTCACAGATTCACAGAGAGAGCTTAAAGCATCTCGCCTCAGATTTGCTTTAACAGCTCAAACAAGCAGCAGTTATGCAGCACGCCAATTAAGCCAATGTTAAGCCACATGCTCTGCTTGGAAATGATGTCCCCCGTGTCCCTCCTACATGCCCGGCCAGGTAAATAACAGCCTCAGAGGGTGAGATCCAACGGCTGGGAGCAATGAAAACAAAGATCAGATTTTCCTATTCAAGTGTAGTCACTCAGCTCTGGTAGAACACATTTAACAACAATATGAGCTGCCAACATGCGACAGTAAAATCAGTTATTGAAAATATATCAAGAGAAAGCTTTATGGAAAGGACTTCTGTTGTCATGCTTGGATTAAGATTATTGTGAACAATTTTGACAGACATGAAATAAAAGAGAACTGCACACGAAGCAGTGCTTGAAACACCATTTCATTTTCATCAACTCTTTGTATCGACTCCCTTTCTATCAGTATCTTTATGCCATTTTGTTCTTGGTTTCCCCTCCAAAAAAATGCTTATGAGAGAGGTTTTGATGGTCTTCTTTCCAAGGTTGAATAATTTGCACTTCAGCTCAGATTTTTCTATGTGAACGTTAAAAATGTTGTCGACTGAAAACATTCAGTCAAAATGCATTTCAAAATCCTCATATCTAATCTGTGCTGTTACACACACAGACTGTGCTGTAACTCACCTCCAGAAGAGATTGTTTTAACTTCCCATAAGCATCCTCCAAACTATTATTAACAATGATGACATCAAACACGCCGGCCTCTTTACCTGGAGGGTAATAAAATAATGGTTACTCGAAAAAAAGGGATCTTTTCTTTTTCTTTTCTGGATTTCTTTTTCTTTTGAAGCTCTATGACTAAACTGTGAGTACTCACTGAACTCCATGTCCACTTGGGCTGCTTGTAAACGCTTCTGGAGACTCTCCTCTGACTCCGTTTTCCTCTCTCTGAGACGTTTTTCCTGAACAACCACAGAGCGGCCTTTTAAAAACAGAACACGATGGACAGCATAGGAGGCCGCCAGCTCGATCACATGCGTTCCACTTTTTTCTTTTTTCCCTCACCAGGACTTCCATCGATGGCGGCTGGATGGAAACGTAGATGGGGTTGAGGTCTGTCCGTTTGATGTTTTTCACACCCTGCATGTCAATGTCAAGTATACAGATGAGGTTCTTGGCTTGGACGGCTTGCACGGCGGCTTTACTCGTTCCGTACAGGTTTCCGGAAAACTCGGCATTCTCAATGAAATCGCCGTTGTTGATGCCTGCCTGCATCTCCTCGCGGGTCACGTAGTGATAATCTGTCAGCCGCGGAGGCAAAGGACACACACACACACACACACATAACACACATGAAGAGAACAAAGCCAAACAATCATGAATTCTTTTATGCGGTTGGAATTTTCTGAGGCGCTTCAAAGCTTTTCTTTGGACATTTGCTGCTTTTGTCCTTCGCTGGTGGACGCAGACCTCAAAGCTGTCTGCCAAACATGATAAGTAGGCGAAAACATGTTCAGAGGCTCTTCAGTTAGTCACTCTGCTGGTCGCTGAAGTCTCATCAGAAGCGAACGGACGGCTGTCTGAGGAGCTTTTCATAAAGGGAGGAAAAAAGGCCGAGGAGTGGCAAACAGGTTCTTCAATCTCCACCACCTGTTCTGCGCTTTCATTGATGCTGCACTTGTGTCAACAAACTGTGTCTACTTCTGGTGTTCTTTGCAAAATGAAAGCGATATTTAAAATTCAATTAACACATTTTTACGCAGCACTGATGGACGCAGCTGATATGGTGATAAAGACTTTTTTTACCTCTGCCGTTCTCCTCGCCAGGTCTAGGATTTCTTGTTGTATCTGTGAGGTCGAGAAAAAACTTAAATGACACTCCATGTTCAAATTTAGAGGTGAACTAAACAATATGTTAATGCCATTAAATAACTGCTGGGAGATTAGCAAACAGACAAACAGATCGGAAATGTAGATAGTACTAATTCAAATCTATTTTTTTAATTTTTCAAATAGGCTATTTCATAAGCAAAGGCAAACTTACGGGACACGCTGAAGCCGAAAACACTGTTATGTTCCTTCATTAGCATCTTCAGCAGGGTGCTCTTTCCTGCCCCCGACGGGCCGCTGAACACCACTGGCCTGGGTCCAGCCATAGCTGAAAGACAGGCGGAAAAAAGGCTGCAGCTCATAGTGGCAAACGGGAGGGAGGGACTGACACATCAGTGGAATCTAACATGAGTCAGCGCAGAAATTGGAGGAGTGTGGGCACAGAAAAGAAAGAACAAAGTGTAGAAATGAAGGTCAGGGTAATTAAACAACACAAAATAGCTACAGCCAGAGAGCAGAAATATGGTATATGGTTTTATCCTGTTAATTCGGCGGTTAACAGGACCTTTGTGCTGTCGGGAGGCAAAACTAGTTCCTAACCGGAGGCTTACTGTATGTGCGGTAAAGATGCAGCACAACAAGAGGCTGAGAGGCACAGAGCCAGGGCCAGCTGACACAAACAGATAACCAGCTCTGCTCTTTACTGCTTAAAACCCACAAACACAGCGGGCATTTAAAACATGAAAAGCGTGAGCCAAAAACTTCTCATTTCCCATTGTTAAATGCTGTGCCTTCTCGTCTGTCTCACAAACAAGTTTTTGTTTTCTTTAAAGTTAGGCTGAGCAAGCGAAAAAGAAAGTGGCATCCTCCTTACCTTCCTTCAGAGCGCACAGAGCGACGCAGTGAAGGGAGGAAGGGGGTTAAAGAGTACAGGCGGAGTGAGAGGGCAGGCGGCCGCCACTGCTCAGTCATTGGTTGGTTTTTAGAAACATCTAATTATGTGTGTGAGGAGGGCAGTACTTAAGGTTTTTGGTTGTTGTTTTGAATTTATCTTTTTCTTTTCCCCATTTAGTCTATATAAAGCCTTTTGGATGTTAAGAGGTTGTAAAGCAAAGTCTGCAATAACAAAGCATTTAAAAAGGAACAGAAATGAATAACAACACCTACAAAAATCCCTTTCTAAATGGGTCTGGCTACGGCCCCCACCCCCACATGCCCCACCGCCGCATAAATAAGCATCCACCTCGGTTGAAGGGCTACTGCCCTTTACCAAAATCCTCTAGACCACCCTGCAACGAGCTCTACCTTTTGTTTCTTAATTCCCTAATGGTGTGAGCCCTGAAGCGCTCGGAGACGTTTCCTCCAACACCCACACGAGAGTTAACTTTTCCTCCTTAACTAGGAGCTGCATGACAGGAAACAGGCGCCATGTGAGATAACAATTATCCTGGGTGGAGATTCTCCTGATTGAAAGCAACACTTTGCTGGACTCAAACCGCATGCAGCGCGTGCTCCATGTGATCAATAGCTGAGACTACATTTAAGTCATGTGAATTCTATTAAGCTCCTGAGGAAAGAAAACAGCTAAAAAGTTCCCAAAGAACCAATGAAAGAAGAGAGTTAAAGTAAAAATAAATACATAACTGCTGGTATTTTTTGGCTAAAAGAGTGTCCTCATTCCTGATCTGCTAAGCCGTTTCATCCTGTATTTTTTTATTTGGCTGGAACAAATTTCAGGGACGAATGACCAACAATAAGCAGGAAACAGCCAAGTATAGAAGACATAAGCTACACACCACTCAAGGTCCTACACATTGTGGGGTTTTTGTTCTTATGTGAGCAAACATTTAAAAAGGTTCCCATCTCTTCCAGCCAACTGTTGAGCTGTTGGTGCTTACTCACATGTTTTAAGTCCAAATACAGCGCAGTCCACCAGTGAAAACAATACTTGCAATGTTTATTAGCATTTCAGTGTTAAACATATAATGGCTCTCTGGGGCACCGTGGCATCGGATCCAAAGGTCTAGCTCGCAGTAGCTAGTAGTAATAAATTGTAATGATTTGCCTCAAAATGCTGACTTCATGGTTTCAAAGGCTTAAACAGAAACCAGGGAGGAGAAAAGGCATCATTATTGCTCGTGTTTACAATAACAAAAAAGGCTGACAAGATTTCTGGTAACTGTTTAAGTTATAGAAAAACTAAACACTATATGCTACATTTTAGACTTAAATGTAACATAATGAGTTTGCACATCTGCTATTTGCAGACAACAATGCACTGAATTGGCTTTGGCTAATACAGGAAGTGGTACATTTCAGGTATTCTACATCAGTGTTAAGCTTCAGTGCTATTGGGTAATTATGATTGATACACACACCGCCTGCCAGGTATCAGGACTCTCAGTAAGCAAAGAACTTGTATGCCACCGATAAAACTCAGGTAGCAGCACTGCCTGAACTCATCTCCATCTTCTCTTGCAGTAGCAACAACCTGACTCCAGAAATGAATGGCAAGCTCAGACACCGTCAAACAACAAACACAGCAGAGTGGGGGTAAAGGGAGGCAAACATTCTTACCCTTACCTGAAAATAGCCTGGCAAAATATCTCATGGACATCTGTAGGTAGGTTAGTCTGCGTCTTTTAAACCGTCTCCGGAGGATTTTGTCCCTCCACTGCTCCGCGGCTCTGCCGTGCGAGCCATTAGAGAAAACTATGCCGCCTACGTCATCAGCGCGGGCCAAAACACCGACACGTTACGTCCAAGAATGCGCGAGAACGCGCGCGACGAAATACAGGAACCAAGCGTTTAATTAGCATTAGCATAACTCCGAAAGAGTCGAGAAAACTGGCATGTTAATTGTACCGATACAGTCAACAAGTGGCTAGAACATTTTTCTTCCCGGAGACAAACACCTGCGGACGGCGTGGCGCATTTTTTACGGAACTTGGTTGGGGGCAGCTTTTAAAACGTTCATCTTTGCAAAAGAGCACAGCTTTAACTGACCCCCTTTTCGACACAAAACACTAATCTTCCGCGCCGCAGGTACTCCTAAAAATAACGGACGGAATTGGCGTCCGCGTCCAAAGTAAACACCGCCACCAGGAAACACGTTGCTACATTTGATAGTGGGAAGTGCAACTTGCCACAGAGCTCCCCGGATGAGTGGGAGCTGAAGGCCGGACCAATCACGCTGCACATGTGGCTAACGTTAGCTGCCTGCGCTAACGCCGCTAAAGCTTCCCCTTATCTCCGACCTAACCTACAAAAATGTTCGGCTCTTCGAGATCTGGAGGCTCGCGAGGAGGCCAGGACAACTTTAGCTGGGATGAAGTGAAAATCGATAAACACAGAGAAAATTATCTCGGTAAGTAGATGAGCTTGTCCCTTATCAGGAAGAACCAGAGAGCGAGCTAGCAAGCAACGGAGCAAGGCACTTTAAAACTGCTATCTCAATACACATAGTGGGCCCACATGGAGCTATCCCATACCTTTTGATGTAGAGTTCCTCATTACACAGCCTCTGGACGGCTTTAACGCCTCGGTATTAGCTTTGATTTCCACCCTCCACACAGAAGGATCCCTCTTTCATCTCCTCCTCACTGAGCAGACACACGTAGCCTCTCCGCTATCCGTGCCCTTACCGCTGCCAGCAAGTCAGCATGCCAAACAGGAGATACGTAGCAGCCAGCAGAGAAGTGACATAAAAGGCTAACAAAAGTAACGTTACACAACTTGCTTGGCAAGTTATATTTTGGGGACCCACTCGAGTAAGCAAGTGTCGTGGGCGACATTGTGTACGGGAGTACCAGTTGTACAGATCGGCACCTGTCTGCGGCGATGTTAAAAATGTGAAGTTTGATCGTCACGTGACTCAGAAGAAGATGCTTCCCAGAAAAACAATCCTGTTAAATATTAATGTCGCCTTTCTTCTTCATATGGGGAAACCTATATTACAAAACAGCTTATAATCATTGCAAATTAAGATGGTTTTGATGATTAAATAGATAAATACCTTCATTCATTTGTTTCCACCATTAAGTGGAAACACCACTCAAGATTTGTGTTTTATGCAAATTAAAGGTTTCCTCATTAAGTTTTAGTTAAATGCACATATTTCCAGAACATAGATTTCCGAAACTTGTTTGTTATGGTCTTAAAATGATTAACAAATGAATCTCTCAAGTGTTTTAAAATGAAGCCACTTAAAAATGTAAGTTACGGTAAAACCACAATTTATGAAGTGAGGGGTTTCTTGTTATATATCTAAAGGGAAAAAAACAACTATTTCAATTTATTAAAGGAAGTGGAGTGATACAATATATTAGCGAATAAAAACTAAGAAGTCAAACATTTAGAAGAACATCTGATTCACAGACACCACCTTTTCACTTTGTTTGCTTTGTTCTTTGGTTTCCTGTGTTGTGTCCAGGGAACTCTTTAATGGCCCCAGTTGGACGGTGGCAGAAAGGCAAAGATCTTACATGGTATGCAAAAGACAAAAAAGGCGGCAAAGCTTTGACCAAAGAGGATGAAATAGCTGCAGTCAAGGCTGCAGAACACGAGGCGTTGATGGCTGCTTTGTATGTATATCTTCCCACCAAAGGATTTTCTCTGTCACTGTGCAAGTTTGAAGGATCAAAATAATCACTCCACCTTTTCCATTTACAACTTAGAGGGCACAAAAATATAAAGAGGCAACCAACTGGCATGACCAAGGAGGTATGTGACTTAGCTGATGCACATTTTTCACAAAAATCTCCTGCATTCGAGAGGCCTGAAAGACTTTTACATTTTCTGATCCCACCAGGATCTCATAGAAGTTTGCAGGAGGGAAGAGGTTGATGGTGAGGAGAAGGACGTGGATCGCGTATCAGGCTTGGGAAGCTCCAGGTGAGAATCTTCTTTTGTCACTAAGCAGATATACAGATGTTACTTTGTAACTCTGGTCTTTGTGAGAGTTCCCTGTTCTCGGACAGCCTTCTGTAAAGCACATCTGGAAATTCACCTGGAAGTACCAACGTATCTGCCTCACTTAGGAAAAGCTGCCATTGTTAGTGCGCTGTAGTTGTTTAATGCTTGTTTTTCTTCTATGCTTCCAGCGTAGGGGCCCGAAAAATTTTGCTGTCCCAAAAAGAGAAGGAAGTAGCAAAAATGGGCCTGCCGGTTTTTACTGTGAGTCGTTTTACCTTCTTCAGTTGTTATGATTTGCATCAGTGCTAAAGCAGACATTGAAGTTACATCACCACAATTAATGTAAAAATATTAAAGACATGCTTTCTGTCCAGCATCACAAGACTGAGACGTGTCCTGAAACTTCAGCTGCAGGAACATCTGAGAGTGCCGGAAAACAAGAGGTGGAACCAAGGTGAGAAAACGATATGTTAGTTTCCACCTGTTTTCACTATTGCAGAAAGAACAACGGTGACTTCAGAAAGTGTAAACCAGGTTTCCTGAGCTTACTTTGACAATGAATAATCTTTGTTAACTTTATCTTTAATTCCGCAGGCATGAGAGCAGAAAGAAGAAGAAGAAAGAAAAGAAGAGCAAAAAGGAGAAAAAGAGCAAAAAGGAGAAAAAGAAGAAAAGAGAGAGGAGAGATTCGTCCTCCGACGAGTCAAGTGACGACAGAAAAAGGTTCTCTTCAGTTGTCATATGTGATGTCATCATCAATTCTATTAGTTTCTTAGCTGGTTACCTAAGTAAATATGAGTATGTTTTATGTGATTATTATAAGTTTAAAGGGTGAAAGCGAGAGGACGGTTCACCTACGTCCTCCTCTGTTTCTATTGTAAAACAAGGCGCTAACACTAGAGGGCGCTGAGATGCTGTCTTTTCCAGCAGCCTATTGAGACGGTGCCTTTTTAGTTTGGGGTAGATGGGTGAATAATTTAGGATTTCTTACTTTGCATAAAATATTAGGACTGCCTGAGAGATGAATGTTTCATTTTAATTGCGACTTTGTCCAGAAAATGTCTGGCCACATTCACGCACAGCTACTTTTTGCCATAAATGTTGATGTCAGCAACAAAGCTCCTGGCTGCCGCTTCCCCTCCGGCCTCAGCACGCCTCGTAGCAGACCCACCACAGCCCGCTCATGGAGTGTTTGTTTCCTTTTACTTTGCAGACACAAAAAGGACCACCATCGTCATAATCCATCATACCATAGTCAGAGTGGAGCCAGACCCCATGACAGCCATTCAAGGGGGGGAGCAAAGGCCGAGCGACAGCCTTCCCACCCCCATCATCGACAACAGCGGCATGACACAGACTCTTCGGATGGGGGGTCTCCGGCTCGCAGTAACCCTGCCATCCACAAGAAGGCTCCTGCTGGTGCCACACAAAGCCACAGGCGGCGCCACGACACAGACTCGGACGACTAATGTCCTGCCCCACACCCCCGAACCAATTGAAAGATGCATAATGCGGACAGAGCACTCTATAACAGCTTGACCAGCAACGAGGGCCTCAAGTGCCCCGGCCTGGCAGGCAGCCTGAAGACAGAGGCCAGCCAGCGGGACAGATCTTAGGCTCACGTTTTAACTAAATCACCCAATAAGTCGGTTGTGTGGTATATTGCATTACTTTGGATTTGTGTTCAGTCCTTTTAAGTTTTTTTGTGATTGAAATCTACAAATATTAAAATTTTTAATGTCAGGCTGTGGATATTTTTTTTCTATCTTACTACCATAATGAGTAAAAGTTTTTATCGGGTGAATTATCTTTTTACTGAAAAGATGTTCTCAACAACACTCTTTCTACAGAAAAACCCTCTGTCATTACTTATAACTTAAATAGCTAATTAGTTGAAGATACCTTTTAGTACTGGCTTGGCCCTCTTTTGTGGTAGAATAAGTATTTTGACAGTTAATAAACTTTTCAAAGTTTTGTCAAAAAGCTATGGATGACTTTGTCAGAGCTGCCCCATCCCACTTTACCCATCATTTCTCAATAGCTCTGGTGACTTTTTTGTTTAGTTCTTTCAGGTTTAGTTTTGACTGCTGTGAGAGCACCTGAATATTCCCCACTGATTGTAATAGTGTAGTGTTTGCACAAATCTTGGAATACGTGTGAAACTGACCCAAAAAAAGAGCAAGGCATTCTTACAGAGTAAGAAAAAACTGGTGCTTTTTATATGACCTGAGTACCATTAGACCGCCACACACACACCGGGCTGATAAAGCAGCAGGGGCAGAGGCCAGACAAAGCCTCCCCATGAGGGATCCACGACTTAAACTGCCTCCTCTTCCACCACCACCACACACTCCTGCCATCTTTTACGGGCTTGGCTGCGATAACCATAGCAGCCTAATCAACCTGCAAGAATGTTGTCCCAGACTGCCACCCTCACAAAGTGGAGCTTCGTGTGCTCTCCAGATGAGCTTTGGCCTCGGTACCACCTGAGGGCAGGGGTTGGCTGATCTATAAACCAGGCAGTAATGTATAGGATTGCCCAAATTCTGGCCAACTGACCTGTAATCTGTTTTCCAGTATTTCAGTTTTAGTATACATTTTGTTTATCAAATATAAAGACAAAATTTTGCCCAATGACAAAAAAGAACTAAATTCCAGAAACATCGTATCCAATGACTTTATTTGCGTTGTGCCCCCCCCACCCCCCCGAAAAAAAAAATACAAATCAAACGCTTTACACAAAACATTGACAAACTTAAAGAGATTAATACATCATTCAGGCAACTAGAAATCAAGACAACATTTTAATTCACCACCAACAGGTAAAATAACACCTACAGCTTTTAGAAATACATACTGAAAGGAAAACAGGCAATGTGTCTTGAATAAAAATGGCGTTTTTGTGGCATTGTGTTAACACAAAAGATGATGGCACTTTAAAAGATGCGGCTAATATTGCTATTACCATCAAAATGCCACTTCCCAAAATAAGTTGCAATTTGCTTTGAGCTTTCTGATAGGTCACTGAATTGTTTAGTTACCTCTCACAGTACACTCACAAAATTAAACAGTGTAGAAATACAGAAATAAGCACTGAGTGGGGTAGTGGCTCCTCTGCTGCTCAATGAGGACACTCAGCAGGTAGACATGCCCTTAAGACTACCAGGTCACATCATGTCATATTGCAATGGCAACAAAACAATCAACCTGAGACATTAAAACACAAAAATCCAAAGCAAATTGCTGTGCTTGTACATACAGTAGATCAGGTAGGTGTGTGCGATCACTGCAGCATTTCGGTCTACGCCAACATCTTTGACAACAAAGGCTGGTTAAGTGTTCACAGACAGGAGTGATGTCAGTACAGAGGGTTAAACCCAAACTGTTAGGGCTATTAAATGTAGTCACCAATGTGCATCAGTGTATAATTCAGTTAAATCTTAATCAAACGCCCCTCAAAGATCACCCCCTACAGTACATGACCAGGGGAGCCATTTGATTGCAATGTGCAGGTCAATTATTTTCCTCCCTTTTCTTAAGAAAATCACACATAGGCTGTCTGACAGCCAGGAAAAGAAGAACTATAACATAATATTAAAGAGTGCAATACACCACACCATTACCAAACGTATTTACACTTGCATAAAATAGGAAAGCATAATAACAAAAGCTTTACATGGATAGATCACCCCCACCACTGGCATGTGATCAAAGCTGAGGTGAGGGCTGCTTCCAGTACAGGGTGAATCAGTTTACCTGAAGTGTAAAGAGCATGGTTTTGGATTTGGGTGCGGCCAATTACTTTTTGATATGCCCCGTTAATGGTTTTTGAGCTGATTAGACAACCAATCGAGTCCTTCATAGAGGCCATCTCCAGTGGTAGCACAAGTTGCCTGAATGTACCAGTTTCTGTTACGCAGGGAGTGAAGGTTCATCTTGTCTGTGAGTTCTGCAGCGTTCATAGCATTTGGAAGGTCCTATGAACAAGAATAAAACATTACATATCAGGTGATTAGAAAAAAATTAAGTCATTCATGGTTTTGCCATCCACCGGCTTTTTGAGACCTGCATTACTCACTTGTTTGTTGGCGAACACTAATAGCACGGCATCACGCAGCTCGTCCTCGGCCAACATTCTCAAGAGCTCCTCACGGGCCTCAGCACATCGCTCTCTGTCGTTGCTGTCCACCACAAAGATGAGACCTGCAGCAGGTCAACAAGCAAAGTCATCTGAGTGAGTGTTGGGCTACATGCAAAGCAGTGGAAACTCCCAAAGGGATTGGTTTACTTCTTGTAAATGTCCTAATCTACTTAAAAATTACCCTGTGTGTTCTGGAAGTAATGACGCCACAGTGGCCTGATTTTGTCTTGACCACCGACGTCCCACACTGTGAAACTGATATTCTTGTACTCAACTGTCTCCACATTGAAACCTGAGGAGAAAAAGGGACATTGTATTTTAATTTCTGAGTAATACAGGGAAACATATGTAGCGGAGGCTCTTGTTAAGTAAACTCACCAATTGTAGGGATGGTGGTCACAATCTCTCCAAGTTTAAGCTTGTACAAAATAGTTGTTTTGCCCGCAGCATCCAGGCCCACCATCAGTATCCTCATCTCCTTCTTCCCGAACATTTTAAAGAGCCCTGCAAACATATTCCCCATGGTGGCTGGTGGTAGGAATCTTCTTTTAACAAAGAATGTGGAATAACACACCTGTGGAAAAACAGAAAGGGTTGTTGCTTATAGAAATATGTTACCAACTGGAGGGGAGATACATAACTCAATTTATAAATAGACAAAAAGCATGTCTTTAACACATACAACCAGAGATACTTCTTAAAAAACTGTAAAGCAGAATGTAACTCTGTTAGATCGCCATTGTTATTTGATCTGTTTGGTACTTTTTTTTTTTTTTTTTTTACAATAAAAAGTAAAAATCATTCTTATTAGTCTGACTAATACATAGTATGGTCCTTATACAAAAACACTTGATACTTTGCCTGTTTTTTTATGCTTCGCTTCCAAAACTTTGAGCAGAAATAATCAATTGGTATTTTGAAACAAAGTGTTACATAGTATTGCCTGACAGCTTGATTTGTAATCTGTAAAATTAAGGCTTGTATGCAGCACATGGAGCCATTACACTTCACTGTCAGGCAGATAATAAGCAGAATAACGCTGAGCTATTGCTGGAAGAATATTAAAACAATGTTTGCCCCAACAAACTTCAATATTGGTCTCCGCAACAGTAATAGAAAGAATTCAAATGATTTTCTAAGTGGTAATGTTTCTATTTGTTAAACAATGTACAGTCTATGATATATCAACACGACGGGTCACTTAAACCAATGAGGTTTTGGAGAGGATAAGAACCAAAAATGAAAAACACCACGATGTAGTGTTGCCAGTAAACATAGTTAACCTTTAAGTATACTACTGAGTTATTTATTTTATTAAAGATACAACACTCGTACCAGGGATTTATATTTGAAAACCCCAGACGGCTACTGCAGCACCTTGACACTTCGCTCGTCAGGGAGCTAAAAGTTACCCAACCACGAAGACAAACACCGACCTAGTGGTCATGCGACTGATTCCGAGTTGTACATCCATACTGTACTGGCACTTAACGCATTTTAGGTACTTACATATGTCTAGTAAATACAACAGATAGGGGATATTAAGACCAGAACGACCAAATGTCAAGGAAATGATAGCTTCGCTAGTACTGGTAGGTCAGCTAATTGCTAACTTTTAGCTACATATCGCACTATTTCCTCACTGCGTAGCCACAGTTACGATAGAAACATAATTACGTTAAGAGATATAGCTTGGCGTTTAACAGGAAAAGTATAACTACAGCTACTTCGAAGTTTAACCACTTACTCGGTCGGTGTGTTTCTGTCCCTTCGAGGCGTTTCCTTCTTCGCAGGAAAATGGCGACAATTTGACACGTCAGACGTTCCAACAAAACTTCCGTCAGCATCAGACTGAAGGGAGTCGCCCCCTGTGGCTAAGTGGAGAATTACATGTAGGTATTCTCAATGCAAGATATTATAAACTGTTTATAAACAGTTGTTGGAAATAAGTTCTTCTTTTTTTTTATTTGAAATCTATTTAAAAATCAGTCTTTAACATCCATAATTTCTGCATACACCAAAGTTATAGAAAAACAAATCATTGCATCAAGCAGTCTGCAAGCATGAAAGCAGTTTATAGGAAGGGCCAAAGTCATCTCTTCTTTGGCTAAGGTCCTTCAGGGTCTGCAGTGACATTCTGTGCATGTTTGATCACACCGTCATTTAGAGTGCAGTGTTTCATTCAGGGGGGCACAGTGGTGTGGTGGTTAGCCTCAAAACAAGAGGTTTTGGGTTCGAGTCCCCGGGGGAAGAAGAACCTTTCTGTGTGGAGTTTGCATTTTCTCCCTGCATCTGCTTGGGTTCTCTCTGGGTTCTACGGATTCCTCCCATCGTCCAAAAACCTGCATGTTAAGTTGATTGGACGTTCCAAATTGCCCTTAAGAGTGAGTGTGATTTTTTCATCTTTGTGTGTCTATATATGGGGCCCATGGACTGGCAGACTGTACAGAGTTTACCTTGCCTGCCGCCCATTGAATACTGGGATAGGCTCCAACCCCCCGCAATTCAGAAAATGGATCGATGTTTTACTTTTCATGTTTCCGAACAGTTGTGGTGGAGCAGCAGAGCAACAAACAGCATCCTGGCTGGACAGATGAGAAGCTGTGATGAGAAGCTCATCTCACTGTGCTGCAGGACTGAGAGGTTCAGGGCCTTTCTTCCAGCAGCCTTAAGGTTTTTAAACAGTAACATCTTAAAGTTATTCCCTGATTATGTTTTATTATTAGTCATTTATCTTATCTTAACTAATTTGTCAATTGTATCTATTAATTTCCTGTTATACAAAATATGTGTAAATATCTCAATCAGAGCTACTTGATCATTTGAATTTTCTCCCTATGGGAATGAATAAATCTTATTTTATTTTCTGAGGAAATTTAGGCTTAGGCGATACTATAAGAAATGTGATTTAAGCTCTTTCATGAATCTTGTTTTATTCATACAACCTCCACAACCATGTAGATATACATTTTTAAAATGTCTCAATTATTTTCACCTTAATTAATGTTAAAAGCTCTGCTTTAAAGCATGCACCCTTCAATAATACATCATGCAATTAAGGATTACATCCCAAAGTTGACCTACTCTCCCAAAACATTAGGGTGATGTTATGTTCTTATCCTTTTATTCTGAAGATGTTTCTATTTCACTTTAATGATGGGGATTTTATTCTAACTTATATTGCCTGATAATATGTAAACTTTCCCTCCCAGCTGCTGACGTAGATGTCTTCCTGTCTTCAAGGTTTTTAACTTCCAGGTTCTTTAACGTCGTGAATAAGTCAAGTCCCACCATGTTATTGTTGGGACAGTTGAATTTTAACCATGCCTGCTAACCCCAGCAGAGGGGGCAGCAGGAGGGAGGAAGGCCAAAGGAGAGCAGCAGGAGGGAAGAAAGCTGAAGGGCCACACAGGGAAGGCTTATTATGCCACCTCCCTCTTCGACAATACCTTGTATTTCTTCCCTGCTGAATAACTGAATAAATAGCTGCTGACATATTTTTTTCTGTTGTCAGTTTGGATGCGTTATAGGTTATCATTGAAACAGCTACTTGCTTCATCATAAATGAAAACATTTGAAGAACTCAGCAGGTAAAGTTTGGCCATCAGCTTATCATTTTTCAACAACTAATATTATCAGTCATTTGTTTCAATTCGAGGCAAAAAGGATTTATTTTAGAAACTTGTTCTCCCCTCTTCCATTTCTAATTTTCCTCCATCCAGAGAAGTTTGGTGAAACAATCAAGCCGGCAGAACATACTGTGAAATGGTAAATTTGGAACTGTTAAATTACTATGCCAAAAATAGATAACTCCTCATGACTCGAAGGCGTCATTGTCATTCAGGCACAAATCCAGAAAACTGAAACAGTCAAAACTTTTGTGTTTCAGCTGTTCACAAAACAGTGTCTATCTTTGTAGATACTCAATGGATACCAAGTGACAGGTTTTGACTCTGCTGTATTTTAAGGATATTCACATCCAAATAACTGGAAACATTTAAGGTGAAAGATCACAATGATTGCGACAAGCATAACATTAATATATTCTGTATTTCTAACACTTTGTAAAGAAGTCATTTTGCAGGGAGTGCCTGCCATGAATACACAGACTCAACCAAATATTTGCTGTCCCCCTTTTTTTGTCACTTTAGTTTTCATCAGAGTCCGACATTGTACAAAATGACTTGTGCTTTGACAGCATGTTTCTCTTTAACACGGCCATCAGATAGGCCAGCGCTAACCCCATCTCATCAGCAGCCTAGCAGATCAGTTTTTTAAATAGTTTTAGTGGATCCTTCTGTTTTGTTTTTCAGTGGTAAAATGCCTTTTCATCTGGCGATTCGCAAGCATCCTTATTTTCAAAAACCTTTTTTTCAATATGTGTGGATTTGCACAACTTTGCTGTGAAACACTGCCTTGTTGGTGTATAGAATGATAGACCTTTTGATACATAAACTGTTTTTTCAGACTGTTTATAGACTACCTGTGAAGTTTAAACTCTGAGAGATTTGTGAATGGTATTCTGTCACTTGAACTGTTCCAAAGCAACAGCCTCCAAAACCAAATGGCATACTTGCAGCGACCTCTTTATAACCCTAATCAGAAAAAATGCAAACAAAAAATGTCTAATAATTAATGAAAAATGACCAAATCTATGACAGCATGTCAGTTTTGCAGTTTTAAGAATTCAGACTATTCTTGCCATCGTATTATTATTTTTTTGTTCAAAAACATTCCACACATCATGTCATAGAAAGGTCAGGACTGCTCGAAGGTGCCGTCTTGAAGATAACATTTGCTCTTCTAACATCTTACCAGAGCATTGATACAAACCCATACAATCTATTGCACACAGGTTTTTTCTTTAGTTCACTGCACACAGTATCTGTTTTTCCTACAAAAAGAGCATATTGAATTCTTGATGTTGATGTTTCTACTGTGTGATCATGGAGCTCAGTTGTCAAAGAAACCAGAAAAGCCACGGGGTAATAAAAGTAAAGTTTGTGGCATAAAGTAGCATTTTTTATGCAAATACATGCTATTGTTCTTGGCAATGGCTTCTTGTGGTCTTTTCTTGTACCGATATCAGCCATTGAGGACCAACAGTTTGGTATTATTGATCACAATCATTACTTTTGCCCATAAACTTATAAATCTTGGCCATATACTCTCCGAAATTAAATGAAAGGCAAATCCTTTAAAAGATTTAACACATTCTAATTTTTTCCCAATTATTCTAGAGTGATTATGTTTTTTATAATCACCTTAAATTAAGTTAAATTAAATAACATTAAAAAAAAGATTGTGTCCATGACTGCATGTTTCAGTCAAATGTCCAACACAATTGGTTTGTTGGTTACTTTCAATCCTGAAAATGTTATGGTGGTTACAAAAAAATCTGAATTTCTTCATATTTTTGGTGTACGTGAAAACCATCAAATTGGAACCAAGCATCTGCAGTCGATATTCTTTATACGACCGCAGCAGGAATGTGTTTGGTGAACAACTGGATTAACAGATTATGTCTCCAAATTTTCCCAAGGCTACAGAGTGTTGTAAAAAACAAAACAATTCATGAGTAATGAATTCACAATAAAAATCATGCTTTAACATCTAATACAAACTAGTTTCTCATTTCTACAAAAAGTTTTCCTTTGGAGAACACAGTACTCTGTGTATAGTTGCTGTAATTGTCTGTGTCCACAACATCAGAGCTTATGTTGTTCATGTGTCTGTTAATGAATGAACATAACTATGGTCTGTTTTAACCTGCAGCCAGTAGAATTGAGTTAATTACAGGTTAGACCAATTTGTGTATATAATTTTGCCACACTGTACAAACATTCTGTTGATCTGAAGCACATACATCCTTATTTATCATCTTATAAAGAACTGCATGAAAGGAAAGCCTGTCCTTCAAATCCAAGTTTGGTGGATGTACTGTTGAGTTTTCATCAGAGTAAATTTCCTCTTGGGTTCCAATTTCACCAGAAACACTTTTTTTAACCAAGAAATCAGAGCAAATTAAATAAGATAGACAAAACATGGTGCACATTCCTGTAATTCTTTTAGGAAAAATATTCAAAGTGAGCTCACAGAAGTGATATTTCTAAAATGAACGGTTCAAGCGGGCAAGAAGTAAACCATAACCATAAATATTTGTAACAATCTTAAAAGCAAGAACGCTCATGTTCCCCTCTACTCGGAACTAGTGCTCAGCTGCACAGCTACAGCTGGTGAGTTGCATTATAAACTAACAAAACCTTTCATATTCATTTTCTATAATGGTGGCTTTTCTGCTGTGCGAGCTTTTAAACACTTCTAATGGGAAAAATGATGCATAAATAAGAACTAAATCACTTTTACACCCAAGAGTTTTAAAAGACATCCCATTTAAATGAAGATTTTGGGTAAACAGAACAGGCATCTTTTCCTTGATATTACCATGTTATTGCATTTTCACGTACCAAGTAGTGAGGTGAAGGAACTGTATAGATCCACAAGGTAATGCTAAATCCAAGATACTCCACTGGTAAACCTGTAGGTAATATCCATTTGAGGGGCTTATGGATCTTCTTCTTTTTAGGCTTCATATCTCACTCGATACGGACAGTTGTGATGTTTGGACAGGCGACTGGAAATAGGACAGTAGGGAGGTGTATATATAACACCCCCCCGAACAAGCACACACACAAACACACAAACTCAAATTTTTATGGCGCCACTGGTCCACGCGGCTAACAAATTACTTTCACACAAATATGCAAGCGCACATGGGCGCTCTTTTTTTTCTTTCTTGGATTACTTTTTTTCCAAGATCTCTTCTTTATTCGCCTTAAATGTGTCTCTAAACCCATATGCCCACCTGGGGGCTTTGGCCTCATGGGGCACAACTACAGTAGAGCTACCCCAGAGATCTCATGTCAAACAAATGGTATTTGCCAAGAGGAAAATGTGGTTTTAATCCACCTCAAAGATTGAAATATGGACCACATCCCCACCTATGAGGCACTGTCAACATTTTTAAGTCATGTATGATCAAATTAAAGCAGATTTATGGATAATGGATAACGTTTATGAATGGAAAGGAGCTGCCAAGGGGCAAAGCAGGCTTTGCAGTAGGAAGTGCGTAAGGTCTCAGTAGGGGCCTGACTCCCCTCTGAGACAAGGCCTAGCAAGGATAAAAACGCTCAGTAAGGGGCTTGGGAGGGCTGGTGTGTATGTGTCTGTATGTGTGTGTGAAACACCAACATAGTGAAAGAGTGTGTCGGCGCATACGATTTTGAACAGTGGAAATGCTCTGTCTGTAGCTTCATGCGCCTTCACATTATGTTAACAACTCAGTTTAGATTTTTGGTCTACGTTTGGGGGTTTTTAGTTATCAAAATAATTGTGATTATAGATGCAAATTATGAAATGGTCCTGGGTCAACCAATAGACCACTATGTGAGTCATACAAAAGAGCTGGTTTGGACTCAGCGAGGCTGGAACTCGGATAGACAGGCATGGGATGCCTCCCTCTGCGTCTCATGTTCTGGATTATAGGGCGGGCCAAATCCCAAAGGTGGTGTGAAGCAGAAAACAAACCATACATTATTACAACGACCTGCATCGTTGCCATGAGAGGGTCCAGGCTGGCTTCTTCCACTGGCAACAAGTGCCACTGGGCACCCTACCCCACGCCTCTCACAGTAGGGGGCGCTATAGAGAAAGACAGGCCAGGGCAATAGGATAAATGTGCACCGGTGTCGCCTGCCAGTCACTTTTGTATGCCGATTGTCGGTGCCCTGAAAAGGTCGTTAAGGGGATTTACATAACATTTTGCACTCCGCCCGGGTATGTACGGTCAATTTCAATTCAGCGTTTCAGCAAAGAAGATTTCTTTGTATTCTAACAGCGCAGAATATGAAAGCAGAGATAAACGTGTCACCTAAATCAATTTTAATTACCAATATTACCTGAAACAGTATGAGATGAAAAAGATAGATTTCAGAATCCTCAGATTTCGCCAACAATCTTCAACTACAATACAGACTTCTCCATCTCCTGATGCCACTTAACAACAAAATCTATTTGTTTGTTAGTCTATTTTTTATCAAATTTCTGTTATGGTCGGGCGGGTATTTTCACGATGTAGACATAAACATAGACTGTCACTTGTCACACTTTTATCAATCTATTCACAAGTTGCAGGGTATATGTGGAAGCCGCTTTGTGTATGAGAGATGTGAGATGTTCTGGGACATCCGTGACAGATGGTTGAGACAAGCTCCTCAAAGACGTACTTCTTCAGAATGAACATGGGGCCCTCTAGTATGGGAGGGGTGGTGTATTAGGAGTGGGAATTGCCTGCTTTAGAGATGTTGGTATACTGGCAAGGTGTAAGGGTACGCATGGGACACAATGTCCGTGCCAGGGAACTGGATTTCCTGAAGGATGACTTGGTTGGACGTGATGTTACTATGGTCCATTTCCTGAAGTTCTCAGCACACTCTCATGACCCACATTAAACAGGGTATTTTATAGCTGAATTCAAATTAAAAGGGTCTTTTCATTGGTGCAATATCTGAGACAACATATTCTGCTCTCCCTTTGAAACTCGCATCAAGCATCCACATGGGTTGTGATGATGAGCCATTTCAAGATGAAACAATAGCGAGGATTAAGGTATTTCTTTGAAAGGCTCTCTTGTTTCCCTCTGTGGGTTGGTTTGAAGCTGATTCATGTTTGCTTTGTATACAATTATTTAAGGATTCGCCCACCCCTGTCCCCTGTTTTAATCCAACTATATCCCATTAGAAAAGACTTCAAAGTAGTAAGTGTTAACCTGCTGCACCTTGAGCAAGGTGACGGGTTGGAAAGCTAAAGCTAAAACATGTAGCATTAAATAAGCAATTTCCACATTTGGATGTCAGGGATTTCCATTTCTTGTCTCAAAGCTAAATAATTATTACTATTTTGTCTTATTTATTCAATATTGGAAAAAAATTGACATTTTGACTGTGAATAACCCAGTCAGCCCAGTCATGCTGCCAAGGCTGTTGAAACTGTGTGTCTTTGTTTAGTTTTTTTTTGCTCTGCGACAATATAAATCTTATAATCATGTTAGTTCCCCAATCTTTATGTAACTAAAAAAGGATCTTGGGTGTATTTTCCACTTTCAAATGTGATGTTCATTCAACCCTGGACATCCAAATGTGGAATCATATTAAACAAAAGATTTCTTACAAATTATATATCTTTATTCATAAACAGTTAGCCTGTCATAGTTTGATAAGTGGTGCTTTTTCTCACATGTGCTTATTTGTGTTTAATGTGCCTGTGTCTCATTTGCTGGTGCACCTGTCTGCCCTGAGGCTAGATTTCTGGCTGGCACTAGTGTGGTAATACATTAGAGGGCTTGTCATTGTACTTTACTGAAGTCCTCTGACAAGCTATTTGACACTTTTGACAGGGTCAGAGGTGTTAACCTGCTCACACTGACGGGGAGTTGGATGCACAAGGGCAAAGGAAAATTAGGTAGCTGAGTCAATTGCAGGTTGTAACCTCTGGGCATTTTGTGACTGTGCTAGGTCTGGACAGAGAGTGGGATAAAAGTGTGGAAGTTAATTCAAAACGTGAGCTTTGCATTTTTTTGCCATCAAAACATGAGAAGACAACTTGTTGAGTAAGTAATGCTTTTAGAAAATTTATCAGGAAGTTGCATGTTGCAATTTAAAAACATTTAGGTTCCGGAACAAATATAACAGCATACACCAAACAGCAGATATCTGGAAACAGCTACTACTAGGAAAGCTGTTTTCAACATTGAGTTCGCTTGGACTGTGGGCTTGTAAGCGCAGCAAAATGGATCGAAATAATGGCACAATACTTTCTAAAGTCTCAAATCCTTTTTAAGACTCCCAATCTTTCAAACCAAACTGGATCACACCAAGAATCTCCTATCCCTTTATCCAGTTCAGATCCTCTAATCCCTCAGCCGTTTTCCATTCTTTCTCTTTCTTCATTTCAAATGGCGACTGTTTGGTTGTCCGGATTTGGAACGTTGAGAATTTTTACTCTCAGTGAAAAGAAAGTAACTATATTGAAGAAAGGAAGAACAGCTTGACAGAGCCAGGAATGCTATGGATCTCTTTAAGTCCCATAATGAGATGTTTTCTCTGCTAGGAGCTTGTATTGACATGGAGACTAATTATTTCCACAAAGTAATAGATTGAAAGAGTAATGCACAGGGGTGGGAAAGACAACATGAAGTGATTTTAGTCATGAAGTAACCAAAATGCTCAGTATGTCTCTCTGTATGAGATGTGAAAAGCCTGAGGAAAGTCACGTCTCTTGAGCATTTGAAGGACTATTACAAGGTTATATTATGCATCCTCAGATAATACTTATTTACAAAAAGTATTAATGTTTTAGTGACTAGAAAATAGATATGATCCACAGGTACCTTTTCAGGAACCCATTAAATGACACGACATCTTGAAAAATGAGAATAGGTATATGAAACTTTCTCGAGTTTTGAGACCTTCCAATTAGGGACTAATGTCATCTATATTAACCCCTCGCCCCCTCCCTCACTCGTCTTTATTGAGGGAAGGAAAAGGGGGTTAGGGTTGCCTCAATAAAACCAGCACTAAAAAGCAATTACAGTGCTGTGAAGAATGGGACTTGTCAGTAATTTGCTGTCTAAAACCGAGGAGATTGCAGGTCTGGGGCCGAGAGGAATTCTGAGCCTGCAGTGCAGTGTGGGAAAAGCAGTGGGAAGGCAAGCACCACCCTTTGTGAAGTAATTATTGGAACTACCAGAGGCCAGCACCAGTCCCTGCTAATGATAACCCCTCTCCTCTCCCCGTTAGTCACCTTGTAATTGATATATGCAATCTTGCACACATATATGGACTCACTGAGCATGGCTATCCTTGATTAAATGAGCAATAAACACACAAATCTTGCAATAAATATATAATTGATCCATCTAATCAATTATTGTGATTCAAGTGTGGCGTTTGATCTATCTTGTGGAATGGACCCAAACAGGATATAGGATATACGTTCTTTTTTAACGTTTATTTGCAATTTTATAATTGTTTAACATTCAGCTTGTTACTTGTTGTATCCCTTTTGACAAAATGAAGCGTTGTTATAATTTTCATTCTCAAACCAACAAAAAACAAGCTACAAAAGCTTTTTTGTGAGAACAACGGAGACAAAATTCTGAAAGTCAGAAAGTCAGAAACGCTTCCCAAATTACATAAACAAAGGTCTCAGAAATGTATGACTCAAAACTAAAATACTTAAATACTTACAATATATATATATATGTATATGATACTGGAAATGAGGTGTAAATAACAACATTACTTATTTTTAAAGAAGGTTCATATATCTTGTCAAAACTTTATCGATCAGTTTTTCCAGAGCTGACCACTGACCTGTATAAAAAGGACGGCAATGATAACTGTGTGTGACAACGGAATTATTCCAACTTTATTGGCACTGTTGCAAGTCTGTGTGTAAACATAAGAGTTGATGTGCAAAGGGGAAGACTTCAACCAAAACATGTTGCTGTCAAGTTTAAAAAAAAGATATTTCAATTTAAAGCAAATCATTTTTCAATTTCAGAATTTGATGTTTCATGTTTTTAAAAAAAATCAGTATCAAGAGATACTGATAAAAATGTAATAGGGTTTAATTGCAAGTAATTCCACTATGGTTTAACCCCTTACACACTACACACTGTCCTAAATTATCTTGCGTGTATAATTGATGCAAGTCATGCAGACGTAAATGTAAATGTTTGTGATATAAAACAACATGACGGCCATTTAGATATGATTGCGTATCTAAAACCACCTCTGGCCTGATAACATCTGAGATATGCTCCAGGCACCAACTTGCAAACTCTGAAGAGAAAGACAATGGAATGCAACAGGATTTTCTTCTCCTGTAATTAAGTAATTATTGTCACCTCACCTCAGAGATTTTTATTTCAGTTCATTTCACACATTTCAAACAAGATCTGGATGCCCAAGACTTTTAAGAGACCCTGACTTTGGGTCTTTGAGGCAAGTGAAAAATACATAAAGGAAAGCAGCTGTTTCAAATCACTGTCCGATGATTGTACAGTGAGAACAAATACAAATCTGCATGAAGATTAAACTTAGATCCGGACTACTCTACAGGAAAGAAATGCTGAAACTGCTGCTGGTGGCATATGCATGCTCATCATTCCTGCTCCACTGCTCTGAGCTGAGAGGTGAAAGGGTGACTAATGAGTTATCATGTCGGCCTCCTCCTCCCCTCTCAAACCTCAGCCCAAACTAATCTGAAGGGTGACCCTTTGTCAACCTTCCAGGCTGGGCACCCCATTGCCATCACCATCTCCACTACCGGGCAACATCTCAGAGCAGTGAACGCAAACACATAGGGCTCCCATTGCAAGCTACAGTTCTGAAGAGTCCGTGCAGCTTTCAAATGCTCTCACATGCACTAACACACACCTGTAGAGTGTGCGGTGCATATTGCCAACCCCCACTCGCCCTTGTTATCTCCTCGGCGCTTCTAATGCTCTTTTGTAAGTACAGAGGTGGCAAAACTCCTTTGTTGGCCTCAACAATGCAAACAGGGACTTCAAAAGGGGATAAGGCTGCTTTACAGGTGTCAAATCTCAACTCATGATGGCTGCCCTCGTAGACATCTTTCAGATAACCCATCATCCTTATACAAGAGAGGTGATGTACTTCACACATTCTAGGCTTTGAGCTGTAAAAGAGTAAATGTAATGCTTTAAATGCAACAGATGTTTTTATTTCTAATCACTGATGTTGAGAGGAATATAATTAATTTTCATTAGCAGGTATTCTCTTTTATTTACCTTTTTATTTCCTTTTTATTTTTTTCTTTGTTTTTTTAGCTTGAGTAGTGATTTTAATGTTTGCCCAAGAGTGACAAAATGGTTTGTACTGTGTGATAAACAACACATTGTGTATCTTAATTTAGAATTTAGTTGGTGAAGTGTTAGATGATGCGTTAGGGCTGTTAGAATGTGATTCTTAAGAAAACAGAACAGAGCAATGCTACTTCTTTCTATGTAATAAAAACTTCCCTTTTTTAATATAAATATGGTGTCATTATTAAATGTATATATATGCCTTATATGCTGGTTTCAAAAGTTTCTCTGTGGCAGCATATCAAAACATATTTTGTTTCGTTAACCACATGGTAGACATAGCTCTACCCTTTATTCTTCCTCTGTATGCAGGCGTGTGCTCTGTGTGTTGAAGAAATGCATTGATTCTGAGGGGAGTGTTCTGACTACAGACAGAGAAACACATAGACATCAAAAGACCGGCTTCAAAGTCAGTTACATAATGAAGTGCCCACACACTGCAGTCTTCTCTATAGTTCGCTTTCGTCCTATCACCTTTGGAGTGCATGATCTACAAAGAAAAAGCTTTGAGAGTCACGCTCTTTATAGCTCACTCAGGCTAAGAAATGTTTCCTCATTCTGAGAGCGGCTGAATTTTGCCCATTTATTTTGTTGTTGTTTGGATTCAGTTGTGTTGTGAAAGTATTCAAAATCAAAATTTGCATGTGAAATGTCAGTCATCATCTCGAGATTTGATTTTGTTGTTAGAGCTAAAGGGAGCTCTAACAGATTTTTTAAAGGGAGAAACAGATGCATATTGCAAGGACATTTTCACTGTTGCTGCTGTTGCTGCTGTCTGTCCCACCACAGCGTGGTTGTATTGAAATGCATGTGGAGGTCCCTGGTGAATGTCAGGGCGAAACTCGGGACATGAAATGAAAAGAGGACACTGATTGCAATTAGGTCCATTGTCTCCCATTTATATGGTTATTGGGAGGTGCCACTGCTGTCTGGTCGTGTCAAAGTTCTCACAGTCACGATGCCACCTCTCCCATTGGAGTCACTCTGGCCTCCTCTGGCAACTATCTGCTAACAATGTTCATCTCACTTGGGTGACAAAGCTGCAACAGGAGGGTCTGGTGGAGGGGAAGGGCCCATTTCCTTCAGCTAAAAGACCATGTTTCTGACTCTGTGTCCATCCTGTGACCTGTTTCATGTTTGGTATTGTACTTGTTTTTACCCATTCAGAAGGTGTGAAAGGCGTCAAAGGTCAAGATGTGGAAGAAGCAGCTGTCACCAACCCAAACCTAAACCTAGCTGGCTATATATATTTATATACATATATATGTGTGTGTGTGTGTGTGTATAAATGTCCGGATCAATAGCTTCACCCTAGTAATGAGTTCTACACGTCGGATAAACTATGGCAGACAGCTTTAGATATAGTTCGAAAGGGGGGTGTGCAGACTAATGAATCCCCATGAATGAGGACGAAAGGGTATCACTTTTTGTGGTGCTTCCACTCTGGAGGGGGTGTGTATCAATCTTTCTGTGTGATAATAGGGTTAGATAGCAGCGAGACCTGGCCTCTGGTGGTGACATTGTTGCCGGGCTCAAAGACTGTTAGGGGTCCAGCAGCTGAGCTGGAGCACTGGTGGGCTCCATTCACTCCCTGGACCTAATCTGTCCTGAGATCGAGTCTTTCCTCTGACAAAGCTCCTATTTTTCTCAAAACTCTCATCGCTAAGATCTTTCTCTCTTATTTTTCTCTCTCTCAAAAAAAGGTCACTGCCTTGAATTAGCTATTCGACGGTACAGAGACATGAGGTCCCTCTTTTCGGTGTTGTGTGTGTCTGGGTACCCTCAGAAATACACATACTGTACAAGAGTTTGTTATTGGCTATTCAGCCTGCTCATTGAATTCTTTATCCATCCATCCATCAATCCATCCATCCATCCATTTTCATTTCTTAATCCATTTGGTGGGGGGCTGGAGCCTGTCCAAGCCGCCTCTGGGCAAGCAGTGGGGTACACTGCACACAGGTCAGCAGTCCATCATAGGGCTGAATCCTTTATCTGAGCTTTAATTTGGCCGTGGAGAACAGAAATAGACATTTGTATGGGCGAGCAGTCTGCTCATACCTTAGCTCCTGAGGTGCAGGTTTTTGTCTGCTTGTTTTTTCCTCTAAAAAACTGCAATAGATCTGATGGTTCTCTCCCAGTTCACAGAGCAGACACTCTTTAACCTTCACCGACCATTTGGGTTACCTTTGTTCCTTGAATTGAATGGACGGATGTCTTTGAACAATACCTGACAACTTTTTAGCATTGCTCAATGTACACTATCAACATAGTTCTAATATTCTATAGGAAGATGGTACTTCATGATGACCAAATGTTTGAAAGCCTGAACTCACTACATGGTGAGTCCACAACTGGGTTACATTGGTTCTTTATTGTTCTTTGTATGGCAATCAAGCCCCTTCATCATCTCCAGGTCTGAGAGGGAACTGTCAGTTATTTTGCTGGCAGATAACTGGTCCCTAGATGGTTTCAGTTTCAAAGCCTCCTTGTGATAAACTATAATTGGCAAACATGTGCTAGTAAACTCAAAATGAGCTGTGTCAGAAATGGAGCCAACTGACATATGTTGCTGGAGCAGAATCATTTCTCTTATTTGTAATTTTTCTTGTTTGCGTGCCTGTGGGATTCATCAAAATCAAAACACTTTTTTTCACACTGCATACAAAGTTTAGTCGTTTCTTTATTTTTAATGTTGTTTTATTCTGATGTTACAGAGTTAACTTTTAGAAATGTACTACAGGCAGTGGATCACACAAAACCTGTGTGTAGTGAAAAAAACAGAGATGAGGTAAAGAGGCTACAGTGTTACAAGTCACAACACTGTTTCAAAAAACATGTTTCTGCAAATATATACTTTTACTTACCAATATGTACAAGGTATGAAATAAATAATTATAAAAAACATCAACTTTTTAGAAATATATAAAAATGCAAGAAGTAGTTTGTACAAAACTTTGGATTTTAAAGACTTTAGAAAATTAGAACACAACCACATTGTCCACTCAAGCAGTCACTCCTGTAAAGTAAAAAAATAGTAATAAAGGCGTCATAACAGAACTTGAATCGATGAGGGCTGATGCACAGTTTAATATATATGACTGGAAACTGTGAAACTTGTTATGGCTGTTTATTATTAATTTCAGTCATGATAAAATGTAATCATAGATGGGCAACGAGAGATCTACACACCTGAGACACATAATAGTGTTAAACTGGCTGTAAACATAGGACATTTTACAAATCCCTCAACAGAGAAATGATGCACTGGACCACACTTTTCAAAAACTTTGTGTCTCAGTTTTCAGTAGTTTTTTAAAAATAAATAAATATAATTTTGCACTCACGCTCATATAAAGGGAGAACAATTGATCATTTTGCCCTACAGTGGTCTTGAGAAACATAACACAAAATTGTACAAAACTGGACAACAAAACACAGTATTACAGAAAATGGATCTAAAAGACGCAACAAAATCCGGAAACATAAATTTGAACTAAACTCATTAACAAAACTAAAAAACTGTTTACTATTTTGAGTAAGTTTGTGAACATTAAAAATAAATCACACTATTTGACAAAGACACATCGGAAAATTCACAAACATTGTGACTGACATATAAGACACATTAAATGTCATGTAATGCATGTCTTTTACTATTTATAGTTGACAATTCATCCAATGATGTATTTTGTCCTTCCAGACCACTTTGTTGTTCTTATTTGAACAAAACTGTAAATTCAGAGGAAACAAATGAAAAAAAAGAACAGATCAAAACATAATGAATGCACAAACAAACTAACAAAAAAACTTTATTTTGGACTATTTGGTTAAATGGGAATTATGTTATGAGTAAATTAGTCAAACTTCACATTTTTACCAAACTACATTTTGCAGATATCTTTCACAGAAAGAATCAATACATGCAAACATATTCATACAACACAGACAAACAAAGACATATTAGCAGCATTTCATTGAGGGAAATATTGATAGTTTCAGTGATGCTGCTTATGGTTACATTTAGGAGGGGAAAAAACGAAAGCCTCAGCTAATAATCATTATGTACACAGATTTTGGTCCTCATTTTCCAGCAACTACCAATGCCGCTGCACTATCCAGAGTTTATATGATGCATGCAGTTTGTTTACCATTTCTGTTTTATCTTACCAGGGAGTACACTTCTATTCGATCAGATGTTGATAAAATGTTACATGTTCCAAAGCAAAGAAAAACATACCAAGAAAATCCCTTTCATAAATTAACAGTTTTCCCCTCATCAAGGAATATGACACATTGCTAATACTGTTAAAAACAAGGAGAACATGCTTCATATTCTGAGCAGGACACAAGTGCATACCTCACAGACTACCTTACAGCTTTTGACCACCAGGTGCTTTTTTTCTCATCTTTGGTCACGAATCTTGATGCTGTTCGGAGTGTAGCTGCTCTTTACGAGAAGCTTTAGGTGTGTTCGCGTACTTGGGGAAAATGTGTACTGCACTGTCTAAATCCTTGATTTGCTGATGTTCAGCAGGCGTGGCTCATGTGTAGTCTCAGATAAAATTAGTCTTATAAAGCAGATATTAAAATGTTAGCTTAAGAATGTAAGAATATGTAAACACATCACAGCAAACATAAAAAAAACTACATTCACTCAGGTGCAAGTGCATTCTTACCCAAACATCAGTAATACTATGAAACACAAAGTCACTCACACAATAATCATGTTAGTTCTCACACATGCAGAGACATACTAATAATATCAAAGAGGTGAATGCATGCTGTTGAGTGACGGATCATATAAATAGCTTGCAAGGGTTTAAGTGGAACAAGCTTATAATGTTTGGACATCATTTTTGGTCCACAGACTTGAAAGCATCAGCAGTGCTGCTTTATTCTCAACCAAACAAATCGCTTAGAACACAGGGAAAAACAAGGAATCACCAATATGGTGTTTGCCTCTCAGCCAACAGTATTCAATTTCCTACTACAGCAAGTAAAATCGGTTTCATCATTGCTTAAGATAGCAAGATAGTTGCTGTCATCACCACCATCACAGTTCATGTATGATGCTTTCAGATATCTGTTCAACTCTCTGAATCAGTTGATTCAGGCAGGTTTGTAGCATCAAAGAACAAGAACACAAGGCAGTTGTTTGTTTGTGTGCTCAGACAGCTTTAGGCAGGTCTCATAGGTTAAAAAAAAATCCTGTGTATGTTCTTCCGCTTCTAGGAGTCTTTTTCTGAGAGAAGAGGTTACCTCTACATCTCTATTTGCAGGTGTGAACATCGTAGACTCTAACACACTCTTGGCAGCTGACGTAGCAGCACCAGTGGAAAATACAGTGACACTTCTCTTTTCTTTTCTCAGTCCGGGTGTTGTGGCCTCTGCCACAGCACAGCAGATCGCAGCCGTCTATGCCGTGGGACGTCAGATTACAGATGCGATCCCGGGTGCCAAAGGAGCCTGTCTCGGGATTGGGGTCACAGAAATTGGGTGAGCTTTCGTAATAAACGAGGTCGCGCTCTGTAGGGGGTTTGAAGTAGTTGTATTTGGGTCTCAGCGTCTCCACCCAACCACGAGACTCCTTGTGTTTCTCCACCACCATCTCAGAGGCGCTGTCATACTTATCCTTCATGTAGTCTCCAATAACTCGGAAGTCAGGCTGTGACCACCAGCACGTCTTGACTTCACAGCTGCCCGACAGCCCGTGGCACTTACATTTCAGAAACATGTTGTCGTTGAGGGACTGCAAGAGAGAAGCTCAAATGTTACTAAAGCACCCCGAAGGAACAACATTTGCCACGAAACTTGAGGGAAAAAAAGAGTCTCCGAACACGAACCATTCGTCCAGCCTCGTTGTTGTGGCGGTTCATCGCCGAGCGCGCATCGGGGCGATTCTCCCTTGCGTCTGCAAACTCCCGGGACACCATGCTTCCAAATTCCACATCCTCGCTGCAGCCACCCCACTTCCAACCCTCACCGGGGGGGCCCTTGTGACGTGTGTCACATCCACAGATGGTGGCTGAACCCTCAGCGCACGCACGGGTCACAGCAAAGGCCACTCCAGCCGACGCAATAGCGTGCACAAAAGCTGACTCACGAGTGGCTGGAAAAGAGAGAATGGCAGATCTGTCACACAAACTGTACACGATTGGAAAAAGCCCAAAAGGGAAATATCTGACAGATTTCCTCCTTCTCAGCGAGGGAAATACGGGTTGATCGTCGGAGCTTTAAGTAATAATACTACTAATAATAATAGTTTTGTCTTTCTCAGATGTTACATCTTATTAACCCAAACCCACCCAAACCTAATCCATTATTACCATTGGGTTGATGTGTTTAGATAGTATCTACCAAAGTGCCAGTGTGACTGTTCATTCAGCCAAGGCATCAATCCAGCTGTCTAAGAGTAAGGCCACCAAGGCCTCTATGTCTCTGTCTGACATAGCAAACTGATGACTCAGAGGGATCAGGATCTTCCACAGAGATGAGAGGAAGAGACAGACCTGACAGGCCTATAATTAAGAGACTCAATTAAGCTTTTGAAATGTTAGGAAACAGACTCACACTGAGGGGACAATGCACAACATAGAGATGAACCTTTGCTGACCAAATATTAAGTCAGTCCCAAGTAAGACAGCAATCATGGAATGGAATAAACTTCTTTTGCACCTTTCCAGCTGCTTTAACAGGATTTTTTGGTGTAAACATAAGGATAATATATTTAGCAGATAAAAATGAGAAAGCAAAAGTATGAACGCTCACATAAAAGCTCAATAGATAAACCTTGAATGGCTAACCTGTGAACTATGTTTGAGTATATATGTCAGAGAAACAGTATCTGTTTCTTAAAAAGGAAAGAAAAAAACTGACGGAGAGAGAGAGAGAAAGGAAGGAAGAAAGAAAAAGAAGGGAAAAAAGAGTGAAAGAAAGAAAGCAAAAGAAAAAAGGCGTATAAAGCTACAAGGAGCAGGAGCTCCTCCCTTACAGCAGGTTCCAACCAGTTTGAGGACTAAAGGGCATTAGAAACAATGATGCAAGAGAAAAGTCTACTGGCATCTTCCACCACCCTTTTCATACCATTTGTGTACGCGTACAAGGTAACTAATGTTCAATATTCATCTAAACTTCTACTCTCCTATTTAAAATTTATCATCCATCAAAAAATCATTGCAATGACAGTTTTGTTTTATTTGCACATTAAAAGGCTGAAAATGGAAATAGACATACAAGGACCTGCTGTGATAACAAGCCATCAGACACCATCTATTAACTAGAAAATTCTGGACTATCAAAGAATCCTGCAAACCCTAACCTTTGAAGGCCACACACACACACGCACACACACAGAGTTAGGATCTAGTATATTTGTGTGTGACTGCCCGTACATAGAATTTTAAAAATGTCTCAAGACAGCACTTTTAACCTTGATCAAGTGTAGAATGTTGAACACATCTGGTTGTGATGGTGCACACATCAGATATAAAAGTCAGAGTCTGTATCATCACTATAAGATGTGTCACTTGCAGCAGGAGAGTTGTTTGATGATAAAGACAGATATTTTATTAAATGACAACTGATAGAACAGATATTGATTGACATTTTATGTATCACTGTGCCAACATTCAAGGCTACAAGAACCTGTAATAGATTTAGTTCACCTGGAATGCCAGCAAACACACATTAGTTTCACAGCATTTCTTTGTTTTATCACCAATTTAAGGACACGTTTCTTTCTCAGACAATGCTTTACCACCAAACTTTGCCAGAGCCTGGCAGGCCAAGTGGTCCCTACAACCTGCTGGGGGGTTGAATCCCCTATTGTGCTGTCACTGTCACGCTGTGTTAGTCCCACAAAGGGCCCAGATATTTTATATGAAATTTGCCCCAGCTAGTGATTAGTGGGGACCAAGTTAAGTCATAGCAACAGAGAACTATGCATTGGCTGGACCCTGCTTGTCGGCAGACAGGGAAATCCCTATTCAAATGGTTTAATAAAACAATCTAAAGGGCGTGTGAATGGGGAAAAGCACTTTTTCTCCTCCTTAATCTCATGGTTGCGAAGATATTGTGCTCTGAGCAGTGCCCAGCAGGGAGTGGGGCTAAGGTCCCTCCATCAACTCCATTTACCACACCCCTTCTTTCTTTCTTGCCCAGAGTTAATGATATACTGGTGCGCTTGCTTCCCTCCCCCAGCATGAGGAGACATACGTCCCATGAAAAGCAGAGACCTCTTAGCTCATCCTAAACAGTTACACTTTCTCATCCTCAGGTCATAGGTCATAACCCACATCTCCTGACCTCTTCCTGGTTAGTTTAGGTGGAACTTGTTGATTTGGGTTATATTTCCTGTCATAAAAAACTCTTTGTCAACAGGAAAATATGGGTTCAGTATGCGAGGGCTTCGTCATTATGAAACTTTATGCTCTCCTTTTACATATTTTTCATGTTGTACATTTGGAGTTTGCAAGTAAGTCTGTACATATGTGGGTGACAACCCCTGTAACGATGTAAATGTTCTGTAAATTCACCCATACTTATTTTATCACATGATCTACAAACTGGAGCCCTATGACTCCCACACAGCAAGTAGGTGTTCCATAAATAACAAGAACGCTGCAACTGCTCTGAAATTGGCTCTGCGAACACCTGCACAGCTTTCTATTATCTTTCAACACAAGCAGATTCCAGCAGTGCATGTTTTGACACTTTAGTTAATGTAAATTAATGAGTGCTGACGCAGACATAGCCTAAAGGCAGGGCTTGAGATTTGGGGTGTGGCAAAGATAGGAACTTAGAGTGCGGTTCAGACCATGTGTGAGGTAGAGAAGTGGAAAGGGAATATTTCTCTTCGAAAAGCTGGAATTGTTGTATTCTTCTTCTGTGCTTTTGTGGCGTCAGTGTGTGATAACACTGAGCACGAGCTTGTTGCTCAAATCGTGTACGTGGCTTTCAACACAAAACACCAGTTTTCCTTCATTCTCTTGTTCTTTTAGCTGTCACCTCAACTTGTTTCACATAATTGTCTTTCTGTTTCTACCTTAATCCTACTCTGTAAAAACATTCTCCTAATGTTCTTGGTAAAGACGAGGTGGACATGGGCAAGAGGAAACTGACACACAAAAGTCTGAATTGCAGACAAACAGACACCAGTGAGGACAATGGTCCTGATGCACAGACAAACGCCAGCATCAATCAAATCCAATGAAATGGAAGCCCTCTCCTACTAAGCCATATCAAAGGTCTCTGAGCCCCTGAGCCACTCTCCTTGGCCTCTGACAAAGGCACTTAATCCAGCCACTTTGACCTCTCACATTATTAAGGGCCTGACTGACCTTAATCCAATCAAAATGATTTACTAAAGCCCAGTAGCTGCCTTGTCTTTCCAGTCAGTACCCCTGCAATTTAGGCCTGGGAGGGGAGACAGTGGGAAAGATGTGGTGGCATTTTGCACCACAATGGGGTTGGGATTGAGAACCCCTATCGTTAGCCACCTACTTAAGATCAAGCCTCTTCTAACAACTGGCTCAAGAGTTTATTAAAAGCAATTGCCCCGAGTGACCTCCAAGCCCTTTTGTTTGCATCAATCTTCAGCAAACTAGGTGACAAGTTCAGATCCCAAACCCTCAACCAATGGCTTTACACAAACAGCAGAAATGATGGCAAGGCCAGTGGCAAATTGTAATAGAACTTTTTAAAAGTTGGTGAATGCAAAATGCACTTCATGTTTACATGAACTGGTTTTGTGCATCATCAGATGGAATCTGTGAACACTGCATGTAATGAGCAAATAAATCTTTCCTATTTTATTGCCAAACTTTACCGAATAAAACACAAAAAACACAAGCCTTGTTTAGTTCTAGATAGGATATGTGTTTCTTCATTTCTTAGAGTACTGTCAATATTGTGCTATCTATCTATCTATCTATCTATCTATCTATCTATCTATCTATCTA